ACCCAATTTATATATATATCTTATGGACAAAACCATATGACCTTAAGATATCACATCATAAACTGAAATGTCTTATCCCCTTCCTATCTTTCTCTACTTTGCAAAAAAGTGAATACACGTAACAATCACTCGAATGAATTTTAAAAACTCCTGTAGTTAAACTCCCTAAAATGTGTAGCTTTCTGAAAGATACCGATTTCAGATTTGAAATCAGCAACACGAAATATCCTAGATCTGCAGAAATATCTCATGTAACAAAAACAGCATCAAGAAAACAAAATCATCAAAAGTGCCAAGCAACAGCACCAAAACGATCGTTTTTCTATGTTAATTGTGATGTTGGTGTTATGTATGTTATGAAAAGTTTTACCATGCTCAGAACATAAATATGGTTTCCTTTCTTTTAATTGTGTAAAAATGTTTCGTTCTTATTTTTTTAGGTGGAGGGCATCATCTGATGTTTATGATTTTGCTTCAGATGTAAGTACAAAATGCTTAACTGACGGTCTGGTCAACGCTTCTTGGGAAGGGTTTTGCCCGCGAATTGAGAGGTACGAACTATTGCTTTGACTGTAAAAAATTATGACTTTAAACAATGTTTAAAAAAATCTGTTTCATTTTATCATTAGATCTAAAGTAACGAAAGTACAAAAAAGTTATTGTAAGTAAATGTAAAAATGAGTTCTTGGTTCAGAACTTTGAATTCGAATTTTCTCTTTCTTTCCATTACATAATCTAATACCGTATTTTATCAAACTGTCGACAAAATTTAATAAAACCACTACATTTTTTCAAATTTAACCATTTGAAAGCGAGTTTATATAGGAGAAGAATTCTAAACTACTTTTAGAAAGGTGTCTCAAAGTTTTGAAGTGTTAATACGTAGAATAACCTACATTTGTAATAATATCTTTACATTCTGTTAATTTAGATCTTAAACAAAAACAACTTTGTAATATTTTAAGTCGCAAATACACGAACACAGCTTAAAGCTACTTTTAGTAACCCGTATTCAAGCAGAGTTGATTTTACTGACCATTCAAAAGAATGAGGTTATACTCTGTTGCAAGTTAAGAAAAACCCATTATCCCTATGGAGGGGAAGAGCCTGTTTGCATCTAAATGCACGCTAAATGGATCCCAAGCTCTTAGCGCTAACGCATATCAACTTTTGAACAACAATCGTCTATTAACAAGTAATAAGAATTAATAAAATTGTTTTAAAAAAATCGCATCAAATTTACGTCCCTCTGTCTGCATTAAGTGTAATTTGAAACGCCCCACCCTATTTTTTAGAGTAGACGAAAAAATCTGACCCGTCGCTGCGTCAGGCCCGCTCAGGAGAGGGGGCGCAGGCTCTATGCGTGCCAGTGGGGGAACCCGCCGAAGCCCCACACCGTGGCATTTATTTATGAAACTTTAAAATCACAGATGTCAAGGGCAAGAGCCCGACGAACATAGAGACAATATAACAGGTAAAAATATAAATGGTATAAACGACAATGACATCTGCCACTAAAATTGAGCCTTAATAGAAAAATTAATGTTTAAGGTCTAAGGTATTTAGGTCAAAATACCCTTATATTTAAAATGATCCGTGGCTCATTAATTAAAACCTACCTGTACGAGATCATCCTGATATCTGGTGACAACTATGATGTTTCTAAAATACAAAACATATGATTGATCAAAAAATGAACAAAAGACTCATGCATGACCCAAAGCATGATTAAAATCATGACCCATGACCTGATTAAAATGACTAAAAACTAAAACATATAAAACCGTTAAAAGTTTAAAGGTAAAAGTTTAAGAAGGAGCAAGATTAAAAATGAAAAGAGTCACATTAAAAGCTCAAGAACAGCCAACCAACAGCTGATTCATGAGCCAAAACATTGGATAAATGTTTAAGAGGATAAATAATAAAAGTTAAAAGCATGTAAGAACGTGAAAGGGTTGAGACACCCAATTTAGTGGACGCGGATTCTGAATTATTGTGAGACCTCATCCAAAATATCCTCCAATGTTTGTTTGATGATGGATTTTATAATACCCCTGAAGGTCGAGTTTGAGAAGCATTGAACTTGATCTAATTTATGAAAATGATTTCCACAGGGTGTTCGGAATCGTGGACAATGTAAAATTAAGTGGTCAAATTTGGTATTCACTACAATTGTTTCATTCTGGTGATTTGTTGAATAATCTATTTTGATGAACACCGAACACCCCATATTCCGTTAAAAATTGATTCAAATAAAAGCTCGTCTGCAGTCTATTAAGTCTTGGGTCTTTTATGAATTTATATACTTGTCTACCTTTTTCAGAATCTCGCCAATCTTGTTTCCATCTTTTATTAGTATAATCCTTGACCATTGTTTTAACCTGGGCGATGGTGCTTGGGGACTCTATAGTAATGCTACTGAGACTGATGGCATCCTTTGCAACTCGATCCGCCTCCTCGTTGCCATCAATTCCAATGTGAGCCTTTACCCATCCAAGATGGATATTGTTTTGCCATAGTTCTTTGGTCTTTTCAACCAATAAGGAAACAGGTTTTGGATGATTTAAAGCTTGCAACGAGGAGAGCTAGTCGGAATATATTGTCGCATCGGGATAGTTGTTCTTTGCAAGCCAATTTAAACTGTCTGCATTTAAGGAAACTGATGAAAGAGCAATAAATGTTGTTTCTTGCAGACGATTTTCTTCTACAGCGAAACAAAAGGCAAAATTCTTTATTTCGCATTTCATTCGTTAAGAGCAGGTCAGCATGAAATCTCAATTTTCAGAAGTCCAATCAAATCTAATGCTCATCCAACATCATATAGTTGTTTCTTTTTCAAGAACGATTGTTCTCCTTATTGAACAAAATATGTCACCAAGTCTAAAACTCCAAGAAGACTGCGAAACTATAACCTTTTTTTGAATAATTCCATGATATATATTGCAAAAGATAGCGCGAATTAAATTTCTACCTGACTTTTTAAATATTTAATTATTTTTCATATTGTTGGGCTAATTAAAACTCTTATTAATTTATGAACCTATTCTCAGCTAAGAATGTAGAAATATGCCTTAATGAAAAAGTGGTTGGACACTAGTGCTTAAAACATATGTGATATACTTATGAAAAAATGAAGGTATACACCATTATAGTGAGCTATGGAGTATGGTATAGTAGTCTGTTTGAGTAAAAATCACATAATCAGTCTCTAAGTAAACTTTTTACTTTTTATATATATTTTTTGTAAAGTTGTTTTTTTTATTTTCACAGATTTTTTATAGATGCCATTTTTGCTTTTTTTTCCTTATATTGCAGCATTCTTTTCAAAAATATTAGCCACTCCCGATATAAATGGTTTATTTCTACGATAAATTGTGCTTTTAACTTGCATATGCATTAAAATAACTAAAACTTTTCCAGTCTCCAAAAAACTTTGGATTTCTATGGGCAGTCAGGAGTAATACACGGAACAATAACAGTAGAAAATGAATGTGAAGACAAAGAAATTTATTTGTTTGGTCATCGAATGAGATATTTAGGTAAGTTGTATTTTATTCTAAATAAATTGATGACTAAATACATCAAACAAATTGCTACAAACTTGCAAAAGATTTTTTTATTGGATTATTGATGGACACTACACACAATAGGGATTATTTAAAAGTGTTCATATGTGGTTGTAAATAGTGCTACAACTTAGCATGCGATTTGGCAACAGCACTTGTTTAGATTCTTTTGAGGTGTGCTACCGCTATCTTCTAAAAAGTTTAAATCATTTTCATGTTTCTTCATATTTCATCTGAAAAGTCGGTTTTTGAAAATGTCAAAAGTTAAGTAATCGCTCAGCGTGTTTTCCTTATAGAAAGTTCAAGATTTATCGTACTAACTTTATGCCATCAAGATTTGAGTACGAAACTTTAAGACCACAGATTCGGCAGAAGCTACATGAAAACACAAGTGTACATATCCTCAGAAGTAAACTCAATTCAAAAAGAAATTAATGAAATTTCTGTGGAGAAGCTGCAGCAGCGATGTTTACAGAGGAGTTGAAAAGAGTACACGTATGGATGGTACTGAGGGAAAACTAAATACTTTTAACTCAAACTACTGCGGACTCTCCGTAGTTTCGGAAAATAGTTTTTCTAGAAACAACTATAATAGGGTTCCCAGGAGGTGGTAAAAATAAATTAGTAGTAATATTGACGGGGAAATTATTTATCTCATTACTTTTCTGATCGATATATTTCTAAGATTTATAGAAACATCGTCTTAAAAATTGTTGATTCTTACTTTACCAATCATTTAGTAATTAGTATTATGTGCATGCTATTAGTAGTAATGTGCATGCTATTAACCTCTTCATAAAATTCAGATATTTAAAAATTGTCTCTTTTTTAATATATATTTTTTGTTTTTAGGAAAACTATTTTCACAGGAGGAGTTTGATTTTTATCATATTTTGGGATACACCAAAAAGGTAGTAATCATTTTTTCAATCATTGATCTAAATTTAACCCTTTTCTCCTAAAATACTTTTAAGTGATTTCTTTAAAAAAATTTACTAAATCCCATTAAAATGTTCGCAAACTCCATGGGTTATTTCAGATTGTGGTTACCCTGATATAGAAATTGGGAAAAGGGCCGTAAGCATTCTGAAGCACCTTGATAAATATACATGATATATAGCAATATGATACGTATGATACATGACATATAGCAATCTGACATTCGCTGGATAAAAAGCATTTAAACTGATGTGATTGCAAAATCAGGTAAATTTTTATTTGCTTTGATGAGTATTTTACTACCACTTGAATGTTTTGGTAGAACATTGAGATCTCTGATAATAATTGGGCTCATTATTGTCAGAACTAATATTTCGATTATAATTTGCTTGCTAATAATTAGACTCATAATACTACGAATTAAAAAACTCGCTTATTTCTAAATTTCTTATATTTATGTCAAATATAGCAGTTTTGTTCATGGGAAATGGGATCGCCCGTCAAACGCTGTGTGTAGAGTGGAGATAGCGGGTTCAAATCCCGCTGTCTAGTTGTATGTTCGTAATATCCTTCTCTGTGTTGTGCTATCTGTCCTTCTACTTTACAAAGTTTTATAAGTCTTAATCGAGCGCACAAGCCTGCAAATGTATGTTGTACCAATAAATAAGTAAATTAAGTGAAATGCTATGAAATTTTAATTGAAATTTGAATAAGTTTAAAAATTTAACATTTGCATACTTAGACGTGTTAAGATAACATCTCAAAACTGACAAAAGTTGGTAGTGAGTATATATGTTTTGGGTTAAATGAAAAAGCCAACATCTTTTTAATTGTTTTTTTTTTTTAATATTTATTTCAGTCTGGTACTTACTTGCATCTTGGAAATATTACATCATCAACAGCAAAAGAGTAAGCATACATTAAAATTACTTACTGAGCTGCCAACTTTCCACGCTTTTCGGGAAAATTTCTACTAGAAGCAGCTAAGTTTATGCTTTAATGTATGATTCACTGTTTTCAAAATTTGATTATCTAAATTTCATAAAAGTTAAATAAATTTCTAAATTTGTTTTAAAGTTATTTTTTACACCATTATTATACTTGTTCCACCTTTTTCGTGGTGAGGCTTTTAATTTATAGGCAAAATTATCAAAAAATAATTGAAAGATTTAGTTTTTAATTTTCTTCCGCTCTATAAAATATTTTTCAAGAAGCGTAGTAGTTGGCAGTCCCCTTTCTCTCTATTTATATTATTTGTCTTCTTATATTCAATTAAATAATTCTTAGAAAACCAGAGTCATAAAATGCCAACCCTTGTATTTATTTCTTATACTCAGTTTTCAGCCTAATGCAGACTACATGAACGATACGGAAGACAGTGTTCGGAAACTAACAATATGCAAACTATACGGAAACTAATTTAAAATATTATTGACTACCTCTCTACCGATGCTTTTGAAATTTATTCACGAAAGCAATTTAAATAAGAAAATTGTTGTCATTTTGACATACGTTAAAAATTTAAATTTAGCATCCGTTACATTGTTGCGACCTTTAAGAAAAAAGAAGTTCTAGCTACAATAAGTCAAGTAGCTACAAAAGATTAAAACTATCACTTGAGCATTACGAAATTATTCCGCTGCTTTTTAGTTCAAATATATATTTCCTTATTTCCTTTCAATATGCAACTTATCGGTAAATATACGAATAACTTAACACACTTATATTTTTCGTAAGGGGCCGGGATGGCCTGGTTGATAGGACGTTGAACTTGTGCTCGCCAGATGGGAGTTCGAATCCCACCGGCCGAAGATACTCCGTGTATTAAATGGTGACTGGTGTACTCTAAATCTGTCGGAGTCACAAAGTCCCCAAAGTTCCCACAACAAATCATTACCTCTGGGGATACTGATTAGGAGATTGATCGTTCTCTGGTTCAGATCAAAATTACGATTTGTGGATGATTGAATGGATGTATAAATGGATTCGCCCTGTAAAATGGGCTGTGACATGCGTGTGGCTGAAATCGTATTCTTGGCCATAGATGGCGCCACTAATAACCATTAAACGCACCCTCTGCTTTAAATTCGCTTGGTTTCCTAAACAAGCTTGTTGTCATTGGCAAGTAGGCAACAGAAACAACAACAATATATTTTTCTCAATTTTACTACCACTTAAAAAGAGTGTTCCATGTCACATCAAAGCTGCATTAGAACGGTTTTAAAGTTTTAACGCATTATTTTGCAGACTTGCAAGCCATCAATTTTTCTTACATGTGTACGCGAATAAGACATATGCAGACATATTCCTTTTCATTCCGAAATGGAAAGCAGGGCTTCTGTCGTAGCTTTCCATCTCACTCTATTTGTGGCCATATATTTTGCCTCTCTCCTTGTCTTTCCTATTGTTTTCAAATTGTTTACAATCGTCCTGCGCCAAGTATTTTCTAGATCTTCCTCTTTGTTCTATTGCATTGAAGGTTTCAATAAAAAACTTGTTTTATTCTAAATTTTTTCAGGTATACGTAGAACATTAACAATCCATTCCCATTTGCGTTTTTTAATGTCCAGATCAATTGGTTTCTGTTTTGCTTTTCTAGGGACGTGAATAAGAATTCCATCTTAAATGTAAAAATTTATTGAAAAAAACTGACATTTTCTGAGACTATCTTACAATATTTAAATAAACTTAGGAATTTTTTTTAGTAAAATAGCAATTTTCCCGTGCAGTAAATATATTCTTTAACCACCATTTCTATTTACAGTTTTTCGTTCGGGTTTGTTGTCCAATCTGATGCTGATTTGAAAAGTATTCAAAAGGCTGCGGTTGCAATTTCTCAGTCAGAATCATATGATATAGGCAGCGTACAAGCTAATTATCACACTGGTAAGATAATATATATACAAATATACATATTTTTTTGAAGAAAAAAAAATATCTATCTATGTTTGTATAAAAAGCGTATCGCATTTCAAATGTATATATGCATCACGTTTTTCCCCACTGTTTTTTAAGTACTAATTATACTAAATTCTTTTGTTGTATCCAAGTATTAATTATATTAAATTCCTTTGTTGCATTTAAGTACTAAGTATTATAAATTCTTTTGTTGTATTCAAGTACAATTAAATTCTTTTGCTGTATCCAAATACTATTTATATTAAATTCTTTTGCTGTATTCAAGTACTATTTATATTAAATTTTATTGTTGTATTCAGGTACTAATTTCATTAAATTCTTTAGCTGTATTCAAGTACTATTTATATTAAATTTTATTGTTGTATTCAGGTACTAATTTCATTAAATTCTTTAGCTGTATTCAAGTACTATTTATATTAAATTTTATTGTTGTATTCAGGTACTAATTTCATTAAATTCTTTAGCTGTATTCAAGTACTATTTATATTAAATTTTATTGTTGTATTCAGGTACTAATTTCATTAAATTCTTTAGCTGTATTCAAGTACTATTTATATTAAATTTTATTGTTGTATTCAGGTACTAATTTCATTAAATTCTTTAGCTGTATTCAAGTACTATTTATATTAAATTTTATTGTTGTATTCAGGTACTAATTTCATTAAATTCTTTAGCTGTATTCAAGTACTATTTATATTAAATTTTATTGTTGTATTCAGGTACTAATTTCATTAAATTCTTTAGCTGTATTCAAGTACTATTTATATTAAATTTTATTGTTGTATTCAGGTACTAATTTCATTAAATTCTTTAGCTGTATTCAAGTACTATTTATATTAAATTTTATTGTTGTATTCAGGTACTAATTTCATTAAATTCTTTAGCTGTATTCAAGTACTATTTATATTAAATTTTATTGTTGTATTCAGGTACTAATTTCATTAAATTCTTTAGCTGTATTCAAGTACTATTTATATTAAATTTTATTGTTGTATTCAGGTACTAATTTCATTAAATTCTTTAGCTGTATTCAAGTACTATTTATATTAAATTTTATTGTTGTATTCAGGTACTAATTTCATTAAATTCTTTAGCTGTATTCAAGTACTATTTATATTAAATTTTATTGTTGTATTCAGGTACTAATTTCATTAAATTCTTTAGCTGTATTCAAGTACTATTTATATTAAATTTTATTGTTGTATTCAGGTACTAATTTCATTAAATTCTTTAGCTGTATTCAAGTACTATTTATATTAAATTTTATTGTTGTATTCAGGTACTAATTTCATTAAATTCTTTAGCTGTATTCAAGTACTATTTATATTAAATTTTATTGTTGTATTCAGGTACTAATTTCATTAAATTCTTTAGCTGTATTCAAGTACTATTTATATTAAATTTTATTGTTGTATTCAGGTACTAATTTCATTAAATTCTTTAGCTGTATTCAAGTACTATTTATATTAAATTTTATTGTTGTATTCAGGTACTAATTTCATTAAATTCTTTAGCTGTATTCAAGTACTATTTATATTAAATTTTATTGTTGTATTCAGGTACTAATTTCATTAAATTCTTTAGCTGTATTCAAGTACTATTTATATTAAATTTTATTGTTGTATTCAGGTACTAATTTCATTAAATTCTTTAGCTGTATTCAAGTACTATTTATATTAAATTTTATTGTTGTATTCAGGTACTAATTTCATTAAATTCTTTAGCTGTATTCAAGTACTATTTATATTAAATTTTATTGTTGTATTCAGGTACTAATTTCATTAAATTCTTTAGCTGTATTCAAGTACTATTTATATTAAATTTTATTGTTGTATTCAGGTACTAATTTCATTAAATTCTTTAGCTGTATTCAAGTACTATTTATATTAAATTTTATTGTTGTATTCAGGTACTAATTTCATTAAATTCTTTAGCTGTATTCAAGTACTATTTATATTAAATTTTATTGTTGTATTCAGGTACTAATTTCATTAAATTCTTTAGCTGTATTCAAGTACTATTTATATTAAATTTTATTGTTGTATTCAGGTACTAATTTCATTAAATTCTTTAGCTGTATTCAAGTACTATTTATATTAAATTTTATTGTTGTATTCAGGTACTAATTTCATTAAATTCTTTAGCTGTATTCAAGTACTATTTATATTAAATTTTATTGTTGTATTCAGGTACTAATTTCATTAAATTCTTTAGCTGTATTCAAGTACTATTTATATTAAATTTTATTGTTGTATTCAGGTACTAATTTCATTAAATTCTTTAGCTGTATTCAAGTACTATTTATATTAAATTTTATTGTTGTATTCAGGTACTAATTTCATTAAATTCTTTAGCTGTATTCAAGTACTATTTATATTAAATTTTATTGTTGTATTCAGGTACTAATTTCATTAAATTCTTTAGCTGTATTCAAGTACTATTTATATTAAATTTTATTGTTGTATTCAGGTACTAATTTCATTAAATTCTTTAGCTGTATTCAAGTACTATTTATATTAAATTTTATTGTTGTATTCAGGTACTAATTTCATTAAATTCTTTAGCTGTATTCAAGTACTATTTATATTAAATTTTATTGTTGTATTCAGGTACTAATTTCATTAAATTCTTTAGCTGTATTCAAGTACTATTTATATTAAATTTTATTGTTGTATTCAGGTACTAATTTCATTAAATTCTTTAGCTGTATTCAAGTACTATTTATATTAAATTTTATTGTTGTATTCAGGTACTAATTTCATTAAATTCTTTAGCTGTATTCAAGTACTATTTATATTAAATTTTATTGTTGTATTCAGGTACTAATTTCATTAAATTCTTTAGCTGTATTCAAGTACTATTTATATTAAATTTTATTGTTGTATTCAGGTACTAATTTCATTAAATTCTTTAGCTGTATTCAAGTACTATTTATATTAAATTTTATTGTTGTATTCAGGTACTAATTTCATTAAATTCTTTAGCTGTATTCAAGTACTATTTATATTAAATTTTATTGTTGTATTCAGGTACTAATTTCATTAAATTCTTTAGCTGTATTCAAGTACTATTTATATTAAATTTTATTGTTGTATTCAGGTACTAATTTCATTAAATTCTTTAGCTGTATTCAAGTACTATTTATATTAAATTTTATTGTTGTATTCAGGTACTAATTTCATTAAATTCTTTAGCTGTATTCAAGTACTATTTATATNAAATATTTCGGACATTCACCAAAGCGACTAATTTGATTGTCAACATTCACCGGTGAACATTGGCCAGCCAGAATCACACCACACGCACGTGGTTGTCCCATTGCTGTCAATTAATCAAAGTGCCCAAAGAAATAATAGCGGTATTTATAATGACCGGGCAATGTGAGAAATTATCGTAAAATTATTCAAATTTATCAAATTGCCCAATTTTAATGGTCATTATTCATAATAACTAAGCATTATGAATACTGACCTAAATAATTACATTGCCCGTAACAGATATAATATCTATACTTGTTGATATGTAATTGTGTTTATATAATTCAGAATTTTAAATTAAATATTTATATCATCAAAATCCATTGTCATCATTAAGAGTTATTGGATTTAAATGAACGAACCAAAATCAAGACATCTCGTGAAGTAGAGAGAGAGAGATGTTTACACATATCAACATTCACTCTTTCCGAGAATTGATAGTTAAAACAATTTTATTCGCAATTATATTTATATTTTGACCAGGTAGAAATTCGCTGTCATGAAGATAATTATGATTTTATATAGTTGTTGTAATTGTAGGCAAACTCATTTATAATTATTATTATAATTCAAAAAGTTTAATGAATTAACATGAGTTTCGCTACCACTTTAGATAAGAAATCTTCCGGGACAACAGGAAGTGTTGATATGTTTTATGAATGCCCCTCCGATGCTTATAACAAATTAGACTTAAAACGCGAAACTATATCCCATGAAGGGAAAAATATTCATAAATCAAAATATCCTTAACGCACATAAGTTCTATTTTTTAAACATGCCCGTCTTTAAAAAAATATAGATTAGTAACTCAGTTATCTCATTAATATCATTTATCTTGGAAAAGAAAAGAATATTCGTATCAATCCAATTATAATAATACTTAGAAAATCTATATTTGGTTTTCAAATCACTCTATTATTAATTTTAAACAAAATTAGAAGTTAAATGTTTAAAATGTTAATTTTTTTAAATTTATATTACTACCACTTTTAAGATTTTCCATGGTGGGTAAAAGACTTATCAAACAGATTTGCAATTACATTATCAACTGACAATCATATTGTGATTTAATGGTTGGTTCCAATAAAAGGGTTTGTCACTTTCAATTTCCGAAAATAGATGGAATTATAAAAATTTTATAAATATATTTTATGAGGGTAGACAATGCTTTCCCTTCCTCTTTAAATTTTTGATTATGTGTGACGGCAAATCATGAAAATAAAATTGCGGTAACCACCTTATGAAAAGTTACCCTAACCACCACATTTTACACTTTTTGTAGCTGCCTTTAAGTGACAATAAAATTATATTTTAATAATTAATTCTTAATTTTTCAAATATGACATCAAATAATATTATACTCGTTTAAATATTAATTGAAATTTTATTTCTAAGCTAAGCACTACTGACAGTGCTAACCTCTCAAAACGTCTACCTTGCTACAGAAATAGATTAGAAAATTTAGAAAAAGAAATTTAACTATTTCTAAAACCACTTCCATTACCTTTTTTTCTTGAAGTATTGGTCACCATGTCTCATTTTTCGTCATCTACTGTCAAACGTCTATCTTGCTTAACTGAAAGTAATTAGAATATGTAAAAGAAAAAATTATATCTTTCTAAAACCACTTCCAGTACCCTTTTTTCTTGAAGTATTTGTCACCATATTTTATTTTTCTTCGTCGAGTGTCAAACGCCTACCTTGCTTAATTGAAAGTAAATAGAATACTTAAATATTTCAAATATTTCTAAAACCAATTCAATTTTCTTATTTATTTATTTATTTTGATTATTGGTCACCGTAATTCATTTTTCTGCATCGAGTTTTAAACGTCCACCCTGCTAACTATAGTTGATTAAAATATTTAACGAAAACTAAATTTAAATGTTTCTACAACCAATTCCATTACCTTATTTCCTTGAAGTATTGAGGCATGGTCTTTAATTTTTTACATATATATTCAAACGCCTGTTATTGTTGCTGTTTCTAATGTTACTTACCAATACCAACAGGTCTGCTTGGTGAAACCAAGCGAATTTAAGGCAGACGGTGCGTTTCATGCTTTTCAATGGCATCATATATGTCCAAGAATACGCCTGTGGTCACGCATACATGACAGCCCGTTTTACGCTCCCATTCATACATGCCTCAATCATCCACAGATAATAATTTCGACCTATACCAGAAAACGATTAATCTCCAATTTAATAGCCCCAGAGGTATTAATTTGTTATGGGAACATGCCATCGCATATTATAATAGTTTAAGTTGGACTAATACCACACATCCTCGAACCCTTCGCGAACTGATCGAAGTTGTTACCCACCCGCACACTGACAGCAGCCAGCCATGCTTGACATCGGTGATCTGCTGAGAACCGTGTACTGAAAATAGAAAAAAAACTTTTAACTTCCTACGACGATGCAAACTTAGCATGCTTAAAAAGGACCAAATTTCTAAAAGCCTAAAGCATGATCTTTCAAATTATGCCAACAGTTTTGCCGCGTAAAATCTTCCGAAATATATGTTGCTACAAGAAAAAGTCTTTACATACAGTTAATATAGAAGTGTTTCTGCATTTCTGTTTACACCCAATATGTAATACAATAAAAAAAATTGAAGGACTTTGTGACCCAACAGATTTAACGTGCACCATTTACTAAACGGGTATTCTTCGGCCTGTAGGTATCGATCTCACGACCTCTTAGACAGTTGTCCCAACGCCCTACATACCAGGCTATCCCGGCTAGTCAAACGCTTACCTTGCTTAACTGAAAATTAGAATACTTGAATCCTTCCATAACCAATTTCATTACTTTTTCCTTAGAAGTATCGTACATCGTATTTCATTTTTCTTGCATGTCAAACGTCAACTTGTTTAACTGAAATTAATTAACTGAAATTACTTGACAAATAATTTAAATATTTCCCAATCAAATTCCGTCATCTTTTTTTCTTTAAAGTAGTGATCACCATATTTCATTTTTCCACAATGAGTTTACACGTAGCTAGAGTTTAAAGTTATTCATATAAATTACTGTTTATTTTAGATGCATTTTCTTATGACCTTAAAGGACTTATTTCCAGTTCAGTTCTTTCGAGCGAAAGATCGTCTCAAAGCATTTACCTGAAAAGATTGGAAATCGATTTAAATGGTGAGAAAGGATACGGAATTTTACTGAAAAGGTAGGATTTAATATTCAATTTTCTTTAAGGAACTAATAAAATATAATACTGAGCAAATTAAAAAATCTGCCCCGAAGCAACTTTTTGTTACTGAATTGAGTCAGGCATCTCTATAAAAAGTCTGTATTTCTTATAGTAATGTATTGCATCTTAATTGTAATATATAATATACCATAATTGTAATATACCATATAGTAATATATTGCATCTTAATAGCTTTGTTATTAGTATTTATTTTTTAAAAACAATGTATATTTGCTTATTATAATACATATTAAAAAATAAGTATTTATAAATTTGACTAAAAAACTGAGCACCAGTGCTTCCTCGTAAACTAAAGCTGTAGAAAACAGAAAGACAATGTATTTGCACTTTTACATCATTGCGCTATTTGTGCTCTGTTATTAATGACTTAAAACATTTTCGTAAACTATCAACTATTCATAGTCATTCAGAGCCTTTAAAGCCCCGAAAAATGGTCTTCTACCTGTGTTTAAAGTATAAAATATACATTTTAGTAAAATATTACCTTAAAATAAAAATATTTCTATGTATACACAATTCTGATTTCACTTTTAGACAGAACCCAAAAGATGCAGAAAGCATGTTTATGAAAGAAAAAGTTCGGAGAAAACCATCAGGTAAAATTTAAATAAAGAACATATAACAAATCCAGGGTTGACTCGCACAACTAAAAATGCAAAAAGTGGTGACTAATAAAATTCAAAATTTTATTAAAATGTTTAAAATTTGCAACTTTTTACAGCATTTTTTTTTTTTAGTTTAGTATTGAAAGTGAATGCAAAGAATGATTTCACTTTGAAAATGAATAATTTGAAAGTCACAGCGGTAGTTAAAATTGAAGAGATAATAAATAAATAAAATAAATTGAGTTTCTACCACTTTTTTACATTTATAGTCGCCTGTGGCATCCTTGTCTTTTCTTTCTTTATTTATAAAAAATTGGGCACCAGGGCAGCGCAGAAGGCCCATATCCCATACATCATGAAATAGTATAAAAAGTTAAAATAAAAGACAATTTGAGTTCAGCAGTCTATGGGGTGGCTGTTACAGGGCATCCTTGTAAGTCTATGTAAAGCCTACATAATACGCCTACATAAAATTATCGTGGGTTATTAAAATAGTGTTTCTTCAATCTTTCTCTACCATTTTTTTAACATTTCTTGTTTAAGTCCATTTCCGGTATAAATCATTTGAATACTAAAATGATATATTGTTTTTTTCTGTATAATATAATTCAGCAGAAAAACAAAATAGTAAACAACAGGAATAACTATAATGCATTTGAATCTGCTTTAAATTTTTTTCTTAATTAATCTGCCCGCATTTTTCAGCACTTTTATTATAAAAATTATTTAAAATAAAACAAAAAGTTTCAGAAGTTTTTTTAAAAAAAATATAACAGTTTCTATATATTTAATATATGAATATTTAATATATGAATATTTAATATATGAATATTTAATATATCATTGAAATAATTCCAATAATAATAATTACAATCTTATAAAAAATATATGCGGTCATTTTTGTTATTTTGTACTAAGATAGTTTTTTAAATATTTACTATCACATAAGAAAGTAATTTTGTAATATCAAATTTACAACTTTAATAAAAGAAAATGGTTTTTCTTCCGAATTTTATTTCCTTAATTAAGTCGTTATTTTTACAGAAAGAAAGCAAACTATTAAAATTTTTATTATATAAATAATAGGAAATGTATCAATTCCATGATAATTAATTTAATGAAAATTAGTATTTTGTTAGTAATTTTCTTTTTCTTAAGTAAAAAAGGCGAATGAAATTTTTAATTTAAATTTACATGGAATAGTTCAATATTCGGTTTAAATTCTTTTCCCAGTAATTCCTGCAGTTCTCCCATTCAAAGAAGATTTATGCCAAGCAATTGATATAACCGGTGGAAAAGGGTCGTCTTTAGGAAAACTCATGGAATTAAGTGAATCACTGAACAAAGTAGGTGTCTAAAAGTTGTTTAAATCAAGTCTCAAAATTGATACAATTCATTTATTTCCTTTATTGTAATGCATATAGGGTGTGGACAAAAATGAAGAAACTTTTTCTTGCAGCAACAAATGTTTTGGAAAATTTTAAGTGGCAAAATATTAGAACAGTTTTAAAGATCATGCTTTAAGGGTTTAGAAATTCTGTCCTTTTTAAGCATATAAAGCTTGCATTGTCCAATATAAGCGCAGGAAATTAAAAGCTTCTTTCAATTTTGAATATACCACTATAATTAAAAAAGCATTCTATTATAAATTTTGCAATCTCCTAAATTGATTTCAAATTTTCTGGTATTAAAACTCAAAAATCGTCATTTATATCCTCCGCTTATTATGGTAGATTCGAATTTTATCTGGGTTAGAATAAAATCATTTCTAAAAGCTTCAAGTATAATCTTCCAAATTTGACTAACAGTTTCTCCATACAAATCCTTCCAAATCACACAGAGTTAGTATATAAGTGCTTCCATGTTTTTGTCAAACTCCTGAATATATGCAGGCTTTTTTGCTCAAAATGCATCTTAAGTAATTGTAAATTTGAAAAGCACAAGCTAGATAGAATGACAAATCACAAAGATATATCCAAGATTGTGAATAGGTTCGGACCCGCTTCCTCCACACTGCAGAGCGTTTGGTAGAAGAACATTGTTTTTTAAACAGGTGGTGCAGTGTCCTAAGCGACAAAGGAAAAGAATTTTAGCTTCACTTTATTTTAAAAATGCTTCACGATGTGGTTTTAGACAGTGATAGAATGGGCACAAAATAATTTAAAAAAGTAGCAAAATTTCATTTCAGTAATATTTAATTGCTCAATTTAGCTTTCTGTTCGCAAATATCACCTTATATTCTCATAATAAAGGATGTATGATTTTTCGTAGGATTGATGGTATATCGTAGAGATTTTATTTATTAATAATAAAATGTGAGAAAATAGGCAAATTTTAATTTTTTTGTTTACTTTTTGTATTAGTAAGTGCATGTTTTATCCCTCAGCTTTGAAGTTAAATATATTCATTTAAATTATAATATTCATTTGGTCAAAATACCTTGTTTTAACATTTTTTGCAATTACTTTAAAGTCAACAACTTCGCTTTCTGCAATATATTATATTAAATGATAAAGAGTTTATCCCTGAAGTTACAATACTACAGTACCCCGGACAACATGAGCTCTCCAAATGATTGCTGTAGTTGTAGTTAATTTACGTCGCACTGGAGCTGTGCAATGGGCTATTGGCAACGGTCTGTGAAGCATCCCTGAGGAGGATTCGAAGTCATGCCATCACAATTTTGATCCTCTGCAGAGGGGATGGCACACCCGCTTCGGTAGCCCGACGACCTACACGCGAAATCGAGTACTTTACAGTAGAACAGTTCAACGAGGACCTCACACCCTCAGTCCTTACGCAGACTGATCCAAGTCAAGCACCGCTGGCTGCAGTCACCCACCCGCACACTGCAGCCAGTGATGCTTGACTTCGGTGATCTGCTGGGAACCTTGTCCTAACGATCAGTCCATTGCAGGACGGTCTCCAAATGATTTTTTTTTTGTTGTTGTTGTTTATAACCAGACCGCTATTTTGCACTTTTGATAATGGGAATAGTTTCGTTAACAGTTTACCTATCGGTCTCTTATTTTGCAGTAATTTGAAATGTACCAGTGTGAAAAAAGTGGTAGCAGTTTAACATATGAAACAAAAAGAATTTTTTTTTCTGCGCTCTACTTATTTTGTTAAAAGTAATAATAACCTTTTTATTTTAGAAACAAATATAGTTTTACATATTACTAATATAATTTGGTTGATAAGAATATGCAGCCGAAAATCGATATATTGATAAGAATGTTCAGTTTCTCCAATACAAATGCTAAGAATGAGAGAATATAATTACCAGAGCTATGCGAAGATAGCCCCCGAAAATGAGGAAATTCAAAAATTCAAACTGCATTCGTTTGACCATTTTTTGACCACAAATGACCACCTTTAAAATTTTTTTGACCACCCTTATTTTGGACATAATCCCAAAAATTAAATTAGGGGGCTAACTTCGCATTTTTACGAAAAATAATTAAAAATCTAATTTTTATACTGTATTCGTTTCCCCACAAATGACCACCTTTTAGTTCTGGTTGACCACCCTTACTTATGCCGTAATCCTAAAAATAAGACTTGGGAGAAGCATGAAGTTAGCCCCCGACAATAAGAAAAATTACTTTCTTAACAACATTCGTTTGGCCACAAATAAACCATTTGAAAATGAGAAAAATTAAAAAATTTCAAGTGCATTCGTTTGACCAATTTTGACTACAAATAACAAACTTTTACTCTTTTTCTTACTATTCTTATTTTAGCCGTAATTATAAAAATAAAGTTTTAGGGTAGAGTTAAGTTAGACCCGGAAAATGGTTAAAATAAAAAGTTACAACAGCATTTGTTTGACCATTTTTTGACCCCTAGTTACCACTTTTTAGTTTTTTTTACCACTCTTTTTTCAGCCGTAATCATAAAAAATATAGAGTTGTTAATGAAGTTATACTAAAGCGCAGCATAAAATTATCCTTTTAAAATGAGAAAATTGCAACTGAATTCGAATGTTTAATTCAAAGGACATAATTTGCCTATAGTAAATCTTGATCAAGCCTTTTTCTACAATGTTTAATGATTTTGATCGTCTAATTATGACATTGTCTGAAAAATAAAATTCCAAAGGTAATGTTTCGGTCTCGGATAAAAAAAAAAAATTTTTTTAAGCATTAATTATTTTCAAGCTTTTAATATAAACATCCTGTTGGCGTTTAAGTTGCTTTTAAGTTATGCTGTTAAGTTATACCTTTTTTATTACTAAATTTCACAATTTTTTTAAAATTTAAAATACCATCTTGTTACTTGCAAAGTTTTCTGAAAGGTCAGCTACTTTTTTTAATACTACTTCAAAAGAAAAAGAAACATAACTTTAAAGAAAAATAAAAAATTAACATAAATGGGAAAAATAAATTAAATTAATGAACAAAAACGAAAGCTGTTTTTGTTTTTATTCAACACTAGCCGTTTAAGGCGGCCAGCCGTCCGCCACGCTATGTTTCTTGGGTCCTAGCACTGCTAGTAGAGTTGCACTTCCTATCTTCTTTGACGGGTCTCAGGTGTTTCTCGCACCCTAGCACTACTAATTGAGACACGAATCTCTTCTAATCTTCTTTGACGTTATCTTCGTTAACTATTTCTACTCTTTTATAGAGGAAATATGTTAAATTTTATATATCATTATTGAGAAAAATGTTTTTAAACAGAATAACTACTTAATAATTGTTTTAGAAATGTTTTAGATTTACGACATCTTATTAAACTTTTATTTTTCTACTTGTAAAACAATTTTAAAATAACATTGCAGAAAATAAAGATACGATTAATGTGAGCAAAACTTATACATATACATTTTAGCATTCCTCGTTTCTCTGGATTATAATCATTGCGTTTGAAGTACATAGTCGTTTTGGAATTTATTTCTAAAATTTTTATATTGCAAGAAAAAGTTTTTGATCATTACTTCGTTTAGATGTCAGCTATAATTAAAATATATTATATTGATATTGCTAAAAGAAAGACTGAAATAAGAATTGTCGGAAAAACTTCAAGGTCGTCATTTGTAGTCAAAAATGGTCAAACGAGCGCAGTTGAAATTTGTTATTTTCCTGAATTTTGGGGTCTAACTTCACGCCAGTTTTATCTTCAGGAACATATCCAAAATAAGGGTGGTCAAAAAAAATTAAAGGGTGGTCATTTGTGGTCAAACGAATACAATATAAAAATTTGATTTTTATTTATTTTCGTGTAGAATGCGAAGGTAGCCCCCGAATTTAATTTTTAGGATTATGTCCAAAATAAGGGTGGTCAAAAAAAGTTAAAGGGAGATCATTTGTGGTCAAAAAGTGGTCAAACGAATACAATATAAAAATTGGACTTTTATTTATTTTTTGAAAAAATGCGAAGTTAGTCCCCGAATTTAATTTTTAGGATTATGTCCAAAATAAGGGTGGTCGAAAAAAGTTAAAGGGTGGTCATTTGTGGTCAAACGAATACAATATAAAAATTTGATTTTTATTCATATGGCGTGAAAATGCGAAGTTAGCCCCCGAATTTAATTTTTAGGATTATGTCCAAAATAAGGGTGGTCAAAAAAATTTAAAAGGTGGTCATTTTTGGTCAAAAAATGCTCAAACGAATGCAGTTCGAATTTTTGATTTTACTCATTTTCGGGGGCTATCTTCGCATAGCTAATTACCAGTCTTTTATATTTTGAAAAAGAGACTTGTTCCAAAAATGGCGTTTAACTGTCAACGAGAATTTTTCAGGAGGATTGTTTTTCGTTTGTGTTGGATAATTCGAAGTTGCAATTTTTGTCCTATAAGTCTAAGCATGAGAGATTTACTATATTTTTTTTTTTGCTTTTGTTGAAACGTCTATAGGGCAGTCTTGAGATTTTGGTCTTAACGACGATCTCAGTGTCATTTGCGTAAAAAGCCAACGACATGCTTAGTGTGAAGGAAACGGAAGCTTAGAAATGGCAAGTGATTCAATATAGTGCATGTGTTTTGATTGAAAAACATGTGTTCGATTGATTGAAAAAAAGTGACGTTGCATTTTTCTCTCAACATCATTTCCCACCCAAAATTCCCCGCACGCCACGTCTTTTTAAAATGTTCTTTCTCCATTTAACCTAGAAAAAAAATAGAATTATTGTCTTTTCTTTAGATTATTTAAAAAACAAAATTCTCATTTTTTTTCCTATTTCGAAATAAATCGTCTCCACGTCATAAATATAGAATATATATTAATAATATAAATCTGTAAAACTAGCTAAGTATAAAAAGATAAGCATTTCATATAACTAACGAGTATATACTTTTTTTATAATATATAAATTTCACACATATATTGTAATAAGATAATTCTTTCAGTTAAATATAAAATCCAGAAATCCACATAAATAGTTGAGTATCAAAATTGTTTTATAAGAGAAACTTGAATTCAATTTTCAGTTTATTACTCCAAATGGTTTTGTTATAACTGCGTCATCGTATTCTAGGTCTCTTACCGAGTTGACTGTTATGGATTCTATATATCTTTAACTATACGCCTATAAAAATATTTTTAACATCAACTTATTTTTTTTATTGAAACTTGATTTTCTTTTCAGTTTATAGTGCCAGATGGTGTTGTTATTACTACTTCAGCATATTCAAACTTTCTTACTAAAAATATTGAAGCTAAAATAAAAGATCTAGAAGAAGTATCATACAAGTGGGTAAACGATGTTCTAATCTTCTCTACGTTTACACAATGCATGTTGTCAATTTTTTTAACATAATTGTTAATAATTTATATAACAGGGCTGTTTATGCTACGGAAGAAAGAAAAGACTTGTTAAAACTAATTCATATTGAGCTTGTTTTCGAGATATGTAAGAGAACTTCAGCTACCAAGACTTATTAACATTTACATAGGACTGTTTCCTGTTTTATAAATAACTTTTTATAAGCCTTAAGGCCATTCTACACTGTTTAAGTTCTTGAATACAAGAACTTGGTGGACTTTCTCTATCCAAAAAATTGGATGATTCGTCGACGCCATCAAAGTTCTTGAATGTCACTGATTGGTTGTATGAAAAACCTACACATGCACATCGTTCATATTCAACATTATAAAATCATATTAAAAGAATTCAAAATTACTAAATAAATTCAAATAAAATAATAATAAACCCTAACAGATACGTTTATTTGGATTAAAATATATGAAAACGGACAACAAAAGGGCATAATTTGATGCTTGCTTGTTGACGTCACAAAATTTTTGAAGCTGATTGGTTAAGGCTGGAAAAACTTGGATGGAAAGTAGAACATAATCTACCATCATTCAAGGATTTGGACTAAGAACTTGGGGGATCATTTACGCAATCCAACCTCCAAGTAAAGCAAGCTTCCATCAATTTCAATCAATCTTCGTCCAAGAATTTGAATCGTATAAACAGGCTTTTAGTATTTGCCGATATATATATCCCTTTCGAAAGCAATCAAAAAATAGCATTGTTTTAATACCAGACTTTTTTTCCTTACACTGGGGTACAAACAGTAGTAATATAATTAGCTCCTCATAAATAAAATTAAAAAGAAACTAACTGAAGCTGTATTAATATATAAGCAAAATCTTGAATAAAAATAAATAAGGGATAGCAGAATTTCCGCATTCTTTTATAAATTTTCTTCAGAAGTTTAAAAAACAATCGCGATTGCAATGAATTAATTTTTCAGGCATGATTTTTCTTCGCCATTTAATTTTTTCACTAAATCCCAATTGAGTCAAAAATTTTCATTACTTAAGTTTTAAAATCGAAATGCTCGTAAAACTCAAACTTCAATTTCAATCTACTTTTTTTCTGAGTTTTGTGTCTTTTTATTGTTTTTTTTATAATGTCTTTAAATGTAAAAGATCGTTTAATTTATTTGTGCCAAGTTCGATTTCTATTAGTTTCTATTTTCGTTTTTCGCCATTTAAATGCTTTATTGTTAGCATATTTACAGAGACAAGACAGTTCTGCATGTCATAATATATTAATGGAATCTATGTTTACAGGGGTTTGGCAAAAATATGGAAACACATCTGTTCTGTCAGCAAGAAAATTTTGGGAATGTTTTACATGGAAAATTTGTTGGCATAATTTGAAAGATTGTGTTTGAAATTTTAGAAATGGTGTCCTTATAACACGAGCAAAATTTGTATCGATCAAAATTAGCATAGAAGGATAAAATATTTTTTTTTCGTTTCATTACCACTATAATTCTAAAACCTTTCTTGCCTAAATATCTTAATCCTGCCAAATTATTTCAAAATTGCTGGTATTAAAGTTAGAAAAAAAAGATATTAACCGCTACCTCTCCTCATTTTGGTCGATGCAAATTTTGCCTAAGTTATAAGAACACCATTTCTAAAACCTTCCATCAAGATCTTTTAAATCGTGCCAAAAGTTTTGTGGCGTAAGATCATCCAAAACATTTCCTGCGAAAAGAAAGAGACATAGAGTTAATTTAGAAGTGTTTCCATACTTTTGACCAACCTATGTACTTGGATCAGAAGTCTTAGAAAAATTTCTTTATTTACCTAAATAAGTCTAAACTTATTGTGATCTGAACTTATAAGATCGGTGCACTTAATTTCAATGAAAACCTTCTGCCACAACAATAACCTACAACTTGGAAGTATCAATTATAGTGCTGACTCGTAGACACAGGATCCCGAATCCCGCTCGATTAAGAGCATTACAATTTTAGTCGATGAGCAAATGAGTCGACCGAAGCACTGAGTTCAAAGCCAAAGAGTGGTGCCGACCTTCTGTAGACGACCTAGCCAAAACCGTGCAGACAGCAGAGGAACAGTTACCACCGTGACACTCGAGCCAAACAAGGGTTCTTTGAACCATCCAAGATATATTAAAAGACCAAAATTACAGAAGATTCACTAAAATATTTTACAATTTAATGGATAGTTGATTACAACAGATAGTTAAATTTCCAAGACTAGTATACAAATGATAGGATGAGGCTCAATAGGGTCCCTACTAGGTTCGATGTCTGATGGCCAGCTGACTTCCAAAACAGGTGCGATTTAGTGTAAAGTGTTTCGTTCTTTTTTTTAGGATCTATATGTAAACTCACAACTCTCTTCTCTTTCTTAACTCAAGCAGTACTAATGTTTCTCTTTTTTATTAACTAACGTTTCTCTTTTCTTAACTCAAGCAGTTTGTACTTATAGCCGCTTAATTAGAATATATTGTATTACCACTTAGTTTCGTAGACGTACTTTCATAGCTATCGCGATGTTAAAATCCAAGCATTAATGGGTTAAAATTTTATCAGCACAAACGAAAAATTTAATTTTGCTTACTACATCTAGTCTTAGTACTTCTAGGTTCATACGCTTTATTTTGGTGTATAAATTAATTTGTAAGCATTTCACGAATTATTAACCCTTTAACGGGCCCTTTATTTCTAGTAAAGGTAAATTAAAGTATTTTTGGAATTGAAATTGTTTTAAGTGATTTCAAAATTTTAGGTTTTACTCTNTGGTGCCGACCTTCTGTAGACGACCTAGCCAAAACCGTGCAGACAGCAGAGGAACAGTTACCACCGTGACACTCGAGCCAAACAAGGGTTCTTTGAACCATCCAAGATATATTAAAAGACCAAAATTACAGAAGATTCACTAAAATATTTTACAATTTAATGGATAGTTGATTACAACAGATAGTTAAATTTCCAAGACTAGTATACAAATGATAGGATGAGGCTCAATAGGGTCTCTACTAGGTTCGATGTCTGATGGCCAGATGACTTCTGAAACAGGTGCAGTTTAGTGTAAAGTGTTTCGTTCTTCTTTTTTTTTAGGATCTATGTATAAATTCACAACTATCTTCTCTTGCAGTTTGTACTTACAGCCGCTTAACAACTTGGGGACGGTTGATTCAGGAAAGCATTCGTACAATATCAGAATCAAGTTGTAATTAAATAAAAAACGGTAACTTAAATGTAGTCGTTGCTAATTTGACAGACTTACTTTGCTTTTACTTTAATTATTGTTAGTTTAATCATATATGTAATTAATGTTAATTCAAAGTATAACTAAGTAGTTTTATTTTGAACTAAGTAATGGTGAATTAAATAACTCAAACAATTATAACCCCGCCCACAAATAAACTGTTAAAGAAATACTTTGATTACCAGTTTTATCTTTTCACCCTGATTGATACGGTTTTATGCTGGCACGTATTTGTGACTGTCGGCCCGAAAGGGTTAATTAAAACATATTGTATTACCACTTGGTTTCATAAACGTACTTTCATAGCTATTTCCAAGCATTAATAGGTTAAAATTTCATCAGCACAAGCGAAAAATTTAATTTTTAATACTACATCTTGTCTTAGTACTTCTAAGTTCATACATTTTATTTTAGCGTATAAATTAATTTTTAAGCATTTCACAAATTATTAAAAAACACAAATCTAAAATTTCTACATGTTATAGGTTTTTTATGTTTTATGCACTTAAAGTATATAACTTTCTTTTTTACAGAAACCACGCAGACCGAGAACAGGTGGCAGAAGCTTGCAAAAGGTAACTTAAATTAATCCTTAATTTCGATAAATTTTAATTTAATATAAGCTAATTTAAATTAATTTGGAACATTATATAGCTTGATGGAAGTGATTATTGGAACAGAGTTTTCTGCTGAGCTTCAAGATTCAATCAAAGAAAAATTGCTAAAGCATTTTGGGCAAAATCTACATTCCAGAAAATATGCTGTTCGTTCATCGGCAACAGGTAAATTTTTCCTTAATACCATTTTTAATAATTTAGAATTTTCCCTATCTAGACTTAATCATTTTATTCACTTAAGAAATACCCCGAAAATACATGCAAGGATATTTTTCTTCACTAAAGCAAACCTCGATATTTTAATGAATTTTTACGTCTACTTCATATTATTTTTCAAAGAACTAAACTAAACTCAGCTGTGTGACAGAGTCAAAAGCCTACTGGGCCCATCCCAGTTTTCTTGACCTGGGAGCCCTGAGACTTAGAAGCAGGTGCTCAGTTGTGTTTTTCTTAAATAACAAAATAACTACTTTTTGTTTATCAGTCTGACAACGGTGCATTGTAAGTTAAATACGCGAAACTTTTCAAATCCATTTAATAAATTCTAAGAGGTAATGAAGAAATATTAATTGATCTATATAAAAACTTTACTTAAGTCTCCTATAGATAAGGTGGTAGCTTAACATGGATTTTCGAAGATCTGTAGAAAAATAAAATAAGAAGGCCGCAGTTTAAGTACTTTACACTCGAAGAAAAACGATGATTTAAAACTGTAATAGATACCATCTTACCGTGAAGAATTATCTGGGATTGAGTGGGCGAATAACTTAAATATTTTGAAAGTTGCTAAATTTCAAAAAAAATTCCCAATTCGGTGACATTTTCTTACCTAGATGAAAATTATTAAAATTACTTGCTTATTCTCAGATTTTGCTCATTTTCATAAGCCGAGATAATGTAGCATGGTAGTAAGTTTTTATCTATTAAAAAATTAAACCGCAAACGCTTTTCATTTTTCCAAAACTGTGGCTTTTCTCCATATTGATGTTTTACGCCATTTTCATAAACATTTCACAGAAAACGCTGGATATAAATAGGCTAAACTTGACCTAACAGTCATGAGTAACTGTTGAAAACTCACAGAAGTTATGAAAATAGCATATTGTTCGTAAAAAAGCGTCATTTCATGTGGTGACAAAGCTTTCGAAAAACAGATTTCACAAAAGAAGTATCTTTCCCGGCATTCAATTCGTATCAAATATCAAAATTAGAGGTTGATTAAATTTCATCAAACTTTTTTGATCACTCTCAATTATAAATAGCAATAAATTGTTCGAGTTTATCACGAAAGAGTTGCCAGTAGAATTCAACTCCAAAATTGTATATTTTTTTTTACTCTGCATCTAAAAAACCATTGTAGAAGATGATTTTGTTTCCAAATTTTCCTCTTCGAAAAATTTAAAACCACTATAACGAGTTTTATTATTATTTTTAAATGAACCCTACATTTCGTAAGGATTTTTTTCCTGTTAGGTGAAGATACCGATCAAATGTCTGCAGCTGGGCAAATGGAGACGTTTTTGGGTGTAGCTGGAATAGATGAGGTGAGATAATTTTATGAAAAATCAATAAAATAGAATATTTCATTTGTTTAAATCGACATTTTCCAACTTGATGCATACGTTGTTCTCAGCTTTATAAGAATTCCGACTCATTATGCGTGTTTCTATCAATCGAATAACTTTAAATTTCATGTATTAGTATTAAGAATCCACTATGAATGCAGTTTAAGTTTTATTAATTATTAGTTACAGTAATATCATTATATTACCAAAATAATCGAGCCTGGTTGACAACAGGGCTAAAGAGAATACAAGGGCTAGTTCACTCCGCTCTTAGAGCTGAAGCTACGATTTCCCTCCTTATGACGTCACTGTGTCCACAGATCTCGGAGATCGCANTCGAGCCTGGTTGACAAGGCGTTGAACTCACGTTTGTGAGAACGGAAGTTCAAATCCAGCAGACCGAAGACTCCCCATGTAGTAAATGGTGACTAGTGCGCGTTAAATCTGTCTGATCACGAAGTCCTTCATGATCCCATAACAAATTATACCTCTGGGGTACTGAATTGAGGATTCATCGTTGTCTGGTTCAGGTCAAAATTTCGATTTGTGGATGAATTAATGAATGAATGGGTTCTCCCTTTAAACGGGTGTGAAATGGTGGCGTGCTGGAGTCGATTTCTCAAGCATAGATGGTGCCTTTGGAAAACAAGAGCAAACGCACTTCTTGCCTTAATAGTGTACGACAACAACCAAAATAATCATATCATGCAGTAAGGAGCAGCAAAAGCAAAGAGCCGAATTTGTGAATTGGGTTCCAAAGGAGGTCAGTGTATAAGTTACTGATCGTATAAAATATCATCATAACAAAATTAATGTTTTATTGAATTTTTATTTGTCTCTTTTAATAAAATTTAAAAAAATGTTTTTCTCTAGATCCTTCTGGCTATAAAGAAATGCTGGGCGTCTCAATTCAGTTTCATCGCTACTGAATATAAAAGGTACTTCTTGAAAAGTTACCAATCAGTCTATACGTATACTTTCAAAGTAAAAAAATGCATAGATGTTTATTTTTCTAACATAGCCCCTGAAAATATCTTAAGAATTTCTTCTGAAAAATTCCTTTTCTTAAAACTTTTTTCAGAAATTGAAGATTTTACTTTTTTGGAGATTTTTCCTAAACATTTCATTTTGAAAATTTTGCTTTTTCTTTAAAATATGTGTAAAGTTTTGGTAAAAATTTCGTAATTATTTTTTAAGTCTAAGTAGGTTATAAATTGTTAACTCATCATGCATTTTTATAAAAGTGATCATTTTTAAAAGGGATGCTAATGATAAAATTCTAAAGTTAGTTATCCTAGTTTTTTAAACTTATATTTTACGGAAACTTTACTTCATTCTGGAAATTTTCCGTAGATTGTAAAATCTGAAGGTATTTCACCAGCTTTTTAACCCTAATTTTGAGGAAAACTTAAAAAATTATTCTGAAGAATTTCGGTACAAAATCAGAGATGAAAGTATTTATTTCATCCACCTTTTAAGCCAAATTTTGAAGAAAATTGGAAAATTCATTCTGAAGAACATGAAGGTATTTCATCCGCTTTTTAAGCCTAATTTTGAAGAAAATTTGAAAATTCATTCTGAAGAATTTCGGAAGAAAATTGGATCTGGAAATTCACTTCTTAAGAATCATTTTGAAGAAAATTTCGAGAGTTCATGCAGAAGACTTTTGTAAAAAAAAATGCAAATAATTTAGTAGGCTTAAAATTAGATCAAATACTTTCAGTCTTTCATTGAAAATGTTTTAAGAAAATCTTCACATTATTTTTAGAAGAAATTACTTATAATTAATGATATTTCACTTATTCTGTGATTGATTTTTATATATTAGTGAATTTTTAAGTTTAAAATTTGTTTTTTAGACGTTATGGTCAAAGCTATAACTCTCCAATGGCTGTTGTTGTTCAAGAAATGATACCTTGTGATGTTGCTGGGGTGTTATTTACATGTGATCCACTAACAGGAAATCCCACATTAATGTCTATAACGGCTAACTATGGTCTTGGTGAGGTATAGTACATTTTTATGATGATTAATAAGTTCCGTGGCGATGGTATCTTGCTCAGTACAGTTCGGTCATTGTTTATAATTTTACCCCTTAGTTTTAATAATTTATTTTTAAGACTAGTTTTACCTTTTATTTCGGAATGTTAAAAAAAAATCTAACTCACTGCCAAAATCTCTTAAATCGCCTAATACTCATCCTTTTCAAGTTAAGCAAGTATATTAGTATTATATAATTTTCAAAGAATAAATGGAATTCTTTATAATTTTTTAATGTAAGAGTCTGATAACTGTCTAACATAATTCAAAATTGACAGACGAAGGCAGTAGGGAGTTATAAATGCCACAAAATAAATGCCACAAACAAAGGTATAGCGTGTTCTCAGACAGGGACTGCAACTGAAAACGTACAGAATTCAACTTGTGCAGCAATTGAAACAGGAGGAGTACGGAAAACGTGTGAATTTCGCTGCGTTTATGCTGGAGAGTATGGAAGATGAAACAATAACTGATCGTCTCATTTTTTGCGATGAAGCAACCTTCCAAAATTACCGACACAACAGTCGAATATAGGGTACGGAGAAGCCTTCCACTGTAATTGAAGATGAACATGACTCAGCTAAATTAAATGTGTTCTGCGCGATCTCATCACGTAAATTGTACGGTCTTTTTTACTTTTGCGAGCGACGTGTTACGTTAAATATTTGTCTTGACACACTTGAGGTATGGTATGGTTAATGCCACAGCTAGATACTGATTCTCCGGAATAAATCTTGAAGCAAAATAACGGGTGCTACGGATTACATCGGAAAACGTGTGAATTACGCTAAGTTTATACTGAAGAGCATGGAGGATGAAACAATAGATGATCGTCTCATTTTTTGCGATGAAGCAACCTCCTACATTAAGTGGGAAAGTTTGCCGGCACAACAGTCGAATATAGGGTACGGAGAAGCCTTCCACTGTAATTGAAGATGAACNCTTTTTCATTATGCTTGCTGGGCATTTTCCACAACGCACTAAACTCTGCCAGCAAATTGTACGGTACTTTTTACTTCTGAGAGCAAAGTGTTGTGTCAAAAAAAAATCTTTTGACACACTTTAGGTACGGTATGGTTAATGTCACAGCTAGATACTGATTCTCCGGATTACATCTTGAAGCAAGATAACGGGTGCTACGGATTACATTTTGGAGCGCTCTCACGCTGGGGTACGATGGTTCTCACATTTTTTATGTATGTGTCATATATGTGCTTCCCATGCCCAAAACAATTTAAGAAAGCAAAGAATGCATTTGCAATGCACTTGCGTCGTTGACTGTACAAATGCTTCAGAATGTGAAATAGACTACCGCCTAGATGTTGTCCGCGTGACAAAGGGAAGCCACATAAAAAATCTGTGACACATGTATATGAAATTTTGAAGCTCCTTCTACATTCTATGTAAATTTTATTGATAAATTCTTTTTCATTAAAAAGTTATTGCCGTTTGTAATCGCTATATTCATTTTGAATTATCCTGTATTGTCACAAACTAAAAATGTAACGTCAAAATAATTTTAAGGTATCCGACTGATTTCGACAATTTTTTTTAAAATGGCTGAATTAAAATTAAAATTTTAGCCTTAGTAAGCAGGAATTTTAAAATTATAAATTTAAAGTAAGGCTTAAAAATTTCTAAAATATTTTTCTAAATAAGGGCAAATTTGAACTCAAAAACTATGCATTTTTTATACCACACAAACAATTTTACAGCGAATTGTAATGCATAAATTTCTTTCTAGATCAATAATGTAAATACCTGTGATATAAACTAAAATCTTAAAAAAATTTCAAAAAGTCGATGAAATATCACTAAATTTGTTAATATGAAATTTTTAAAGCAAAATTCTAAAAATAATTTTATTTAAAGTTTCATAAAAATAACAAATTCACATTTTTAGCTTTCAGCTCAAAGCACCACTAACATTATATAAGATCTACATATTAAATTTCAAAGAATTCCATAATTAATGTTTTTTGTAAAATGGGTTAGTGTAAAGACGGTCAAAATCAACGTTCTTCAGAAAATGCGTTTAAATTACAAGAAAATTCCGAACTGTAAGAAAATATTGAGTACAAAAAAATTAAGAATTTGAAAACTAATTTCTGATAATGAATTTTATTTGCCTAAAGTACATAATTTATTCAGTAAAAAAAAAAAGTTAAAATACCCAAAGTATAACAAATAAATTACTTTATTTTAGTTTCGTTTTCGGGAGTTAACTTCCAATTTCGATTTCGTCCGTCAGCATACAAGAAAATTACAATAACTTTAGTTCTAAAAATTAGAGAACAAAAATTTAAAGGATTTTGGAAAGCCATAGAACTGAAGTCCAATATCCGTGGTGGCTCAGGGTACAGAGAGCTCGCCTCCCTATTAGGTGAGCCAAGTTCGAATCCCAGCAACGGCAGGTCAATACGAATTCTACACCCGGTTGGCACTGATGACAGTGCTGACGTAGAATATCCTCAGCGAAAGACAGACCATGTGCTAGAGTCCCCTTGCTGTCAGGCTGACCATTCCAGGTTTTTATGGTTTTCTTCTCCATGCAACGGCAATGCAAGTTATTTCCATCAAAAAGTCCTCCTACGAAGGCAAATTTCTCCCAATACTTGATCCGAAAATTCCCTTGTGTTCTAGATTGGGTTCAAACTTACAAGGTTACTAAGTTGAATATAGGTAGTCTTACACTCAAAATTGGGTCAGCTGCTTAACGGCGGTTATAAGAAATTGGATAGTTTAAAAAAAAAATTCGAAATTGCCGATTTTCATCCTGCCGGACATCAGAAAAATTGAAAAAAGAAAAGAAAAAGATTTATCCAATTGCAATTATATTTTGCCTACTTCATGCATTTTATTATATTTAAATAAATCTATGTATAATAAATGTTTCTTTCATAGTCTGTTGTATCAGGTTCGGAGGAGCCGGATATGATCTACTTAAAAAGAGATGAGAATGACACACTTCACGTTAAATCTATAGACATAGGAAAGAAGAATCGAAAAATTATTGTAGACGGTAAATATATTCAATGATACTTAAGTTTATTTTATTTTAGATATATATTAATAAGCTAGAGAATTGTATTAATTGTATTGTAACTCAATGCTCGCTGCAAACTTTTACATTTTTTGTAAAAGAATTTTTCTAGGGGTTAATATTTTAGATTGGGTGTCTCAATTAGAATCTTGCAAAATTATTTTTAGACCACCATAGCCAACAAATAATCTATTCTATATCTTAAATATATGGTAATATTATTGAATATTATAAAATAAGTAATATTATTGATAACAAAACAAATTCGAAAAATTTTCTTAATCAAAACTTAATACAAAATTAAAAACTTATCAAAGATTACAATTTAATTGATATTTTACAATAAGCGCTAGGGGAAAAATTCCGCAAAAAACATAAAAATCAGCATTTGTGCTGTTACTGGTATAGATATTCTTTCTTCATCTAACTGTAGACAGCATTTTTAAAAATTAAGAGATAGAACTAAAACGATAGAGTTTTGAATACTGCGTCATTCATTATTATTTAATTCTTCGAAAAATACTCAACATGAACGCCCGACGAACGTCTAGTGATCCTAATATGTGACCCCGTGTTTGAATACTGCGTCATTCATTATTATTTAATTCTTCGAAAAATACTCAACATCAACCGCCGACGAACGCCTAGTGATCCTAATATGTAAAATAATAATGTGATTTTTCCTTATTCCCGTGGTTGAAATTTTCTTTTTGGTCATCATTAATTCGATTAAAAAAAAATTCGCAAAGAAGCCCGAAACAGCATTCACAAAAATAATTTTAATACATATTTTGATGATTGGAAAAAACTTTGGCAGAGTGCATTGATATTTGAATAAAGAATTTTGAGAGTGATGGAACATATTTTCACTCCATTTTCACATCATGTAGTTTCATAAAAAATTAGGTCTACCGAAAAGGTCTGCCCACGATTGCGACTCCACGATCAACAGCTATTCAGGGTGTTCCGTTTTTTTGTTTTTAATCATCTTACTGTGCATAAAAATCTGACATCTTCCGGACAAGTTAAAATTTTAAAAGCATACTTATTTTAATTTCTATTATTTTCACAATAAAATCACAAATAAGTTTTATTATTCATGATTCACCATCATGATTACCATACACAATTTCAAATACATTATTTTAAAATAATGAATTCATTATATGAATGAATGAAATTCATTTAATTAATTAAATGAATAAATTTATTTATTCTATGAATTCATGAATTGAATGAATAAATTTATTTATTCATGAATAAATTCATTAAATAAATTATTATTTTTAGTTAATGGATTCATTCTTTTAAGATTTTAAATCTGAAATATTCTGCAAAAGTAAGGCTCATGAAATGCTGTATAAAATCATGCTATGAGCAATGTCTAAAATATTCCATATGTAAAAAGTTTCTTAAAATTTGAAGAGCATATGCAACATACTTTAAAAGTTTTATTTTTCATTTATAGATCATGGAACAAGTGCAGAAAATGTGTCAGAAAACGAACAAAATATTTGTTCCCTTTCTGAAGAAATGATAATGCGTTTAGGATACGTTGCAATTAAGGTAACTATAAACACTATTAATAGAAAAGTCATTGAAGAACAAAAAAAAAGATTTCGAACATTTTTATATTTTAAAAGAAATTTAAATTGAAAATTTTTTAAATCATCCATCTTTAATACAAACCTTTCCGTGCTTAATTGTTTCAATTAAATTTAAATTATATAAATATTATACATGGTGAACCAAGCACGAATAAAGTTAACCGAATAATTATGAATAATGTTAATTTTTCTTTCCAATGCGGATTCGATTGATACTGGTCATCTGGGTATTAACATATCTTATATAATAGTGAATTGGTATTATATTTTTGTAGTGGTAGATACTCTACAGTTGTATTAAAAAAGCTGAATGACAACTTATAAAAGCGCAGACATTGTAGTGAACAGTTTATGAAACTAGTTAACAAATTCTTAAAAGTGGTGACGAAAAGTATGTATTTGGTTTAAATATCTCGCTGTTTTTTTTAACTGTTTGACCCAATCGACACCTTAAAATATCTAATATACTCTCAAACGCATTGGGGCACCACTTTTTTTTCATAAAATTGCAGTAAAAAGATAAAACATTTTCATAAAATCTTGTAGTAAATATTAAATTTAAAACTTATTCAGGTTTTTCATGACCTGGAATAAATAAATGAGTAATAGCGCTAAGATTTTTCAAGACTACTGAAAAATGCTAAAATTTATCTTTCATTTGTGAATTACGAAATTATTCGCGAGATATTTCCTTTAAATTATATATATATATATAGAATTAAAATCTTAAAACCTTTTTTTAAAACTTTTTTCTTGTAATGCTCAAGCAAAAGCTAAGTTTAACCATTTTTTAGTAACTTTGAGATAGCTGAGAGCTATCAATTTTCAATTTTTTTCTAGGTCGTTTTAACGGTGATAGCCCTGTATATTATATCAAAACGAATAAAATATTTAAAAAAAAATTCATACAAATTTAGCTGTAACTCGGATTTTGTGCAATAAATTTCACAATGTTTTGCCATTAAATTCATCATTTCTCTTTTCCGTAGATTGAAAAGCATTACCATTCTCATAGAGATTTAGAATGGGGTTTCTTCAAAAACAATTTGTATATTTTTCAAGTAAGCATTGTTATGTATATTTCGCATTTCTATGTTTTAATTTTGTNGTTATAACGGTGATAGCCCTGTATATTATATCAAAACGAATACAATATTTAAAAAAAAATTTATAAAAATTTAGCTGTAACTCGGATGTTTGTACAATAAATTCCACAATGTTTTGCCATTAAATTCATCATTTCTCTTTTCCGTAGATTGAAAAGCATTGAGATTTAGAATGGGGTTTCTTCAAAAACAATTTGTATATTTTTCAAGTAAGCATTGTTATGTATATTTCGCATTTCTATGTTTTAATTTTGTTCAATAATTATGTATATGCATGAACATTTTTTATTTTTATATTTTTAAAATATTACTCTGATATAGTTAAATGTTAATTTTAAGTCTGGGGACATTAAACCTCCCTTAATCTTGGCTTTCAAGAAACCAAACAAACCAAAACATTTATGCCAAAACATTTAGAAAAAAAAATCGGAACGTTGATTTTTAAATATTTGAATCAAGTGTAATTTATTTTCGATTCAGCTGTTTAATTGTCAGTTCGAAAAAAGTATTTCTCGTTTAATCATTAGCTCTATAAGTTTTCCTACTTCTACAATATTCTCTTCTAGAAGAGTAACTATTCTCTTGAAATTACACTTAAGAACAATTTTCTTTTCTAGTTGCATAAGATTTTTTTAAACATATCTCAGATACTTTCGCATCGCTGATTTCAAATCCACAATCGGTTTCTTTCCATAAGATACAGTTTTCATAAAATTCAGTAATATAGCCCGAACGAGATTGTTTAAAATTAGACAACATTTAGACAACAAAAGAACTAAACTAGAAATATCATTTTAAAAAGAAAAATCTGTGTAATCTGTGTAAATCTGTGAAAAATCTAGTTACAGATTTGAAACCCACGAACCCGAATTAGATACGATGCCGCTTTTGTATAAATGTTACAAAAATTTTGTTCCCCAGTGTTGTCTATTTGATACAGTTTGAGAAAATTTAAGATTTGCAAAAAATTTATTTAAATATTATTTTAGTTCTTTAGTCGCCTACCTGCCAACTTATACGCAGGTACGCTTAGTTGCATATCTGACAACTTATACAACTCTTCAAAGTAGTTTTCGCTCTTGACAATGCCAATTGAAAATACATTGTAATCGCATATTTCATCACTTTTTAGACAACACTTAAAGCCCAACAAAATAATTTGCTTATCTCCCCCTATATGTATGTTTAAACTGTTAAAATAAATTGTGGTCAAAATCAGTTTTTATCAAATATATTAATATAAGAGTCAAGTATGAATATAAAAATCATATAACCACGTTAAATATAGAAATAAAATCCTCCGGAAAGTTCAGAACATTTGGCAGATATGGAGTTGTAAAATTGTACTATAATTGTATTTAAAGCCTATAAATTTTAGTCGCTAATAATTATTGGTGAAAAAAATGCTTCTTTAGTTCTTTAACTTTCAATTCAAAAGCTTGCAAACGCCTCTGTTTTAATTTTTTTTTAAAAACTGTAACATTAACGGAACAAATATTTAGAGCTGCCAAATCTCCCGCTTTTGTTTTTAAACTTTCCATTTTATTTTTAAAGTAATAATTAAATATAAGCATTAATATTGTTATGTTTATTTTGGCGAAGTTGATTCATAATGATTTTGACCATCCAATATATATAAATACTCTAAATAAATATATAATAGTCCTAACAATTCTTTTTAAAAAATAAAGTGTTTACATACGTAAAATAATTCGTACTTTCGACTGTAAAATCATTTGGTATATTGTTTCACTATAAATCTTAAGTAGAAAGTATGAAAAAAACAGGAATTTATAAACTACCTTTAATATTCCCCACTTTCGTGCTATTGCTATGTCCGAAAGTGATCATTGGTATGCATAGTGCCAAAAATAGTTTGAAAAAATTGTCATAATTTAAAAATTTTTTAATTTATATTTAATTTTGCTTAAATTATTTTTGAAACTTTGATTTTCTGGTGGTACTTTAAAGTATTATTTTTATTGTTCCAAAAACTAAGATGGAAGAACAGTAACAAACAGAAAAACAGATAGGAAGACAATTCTTTCGTAATAGTTTTTGCTCTTTTCCTTCTTGATGTTTATAGGCTTTCAGCATTGCCCACTTTCAGCCCAGGCTCACACTTTGCAATAAAACTTATCCATTGAAAAATTTTATAAAATAATTTAATTCTTCACCAATCTCAGTATATCTTACATTAAATGTTCTTCCACAACTTTTTGTTTTTTCTGAACCACTCGTTGTTTTGAAACCATTTTAAATACTAACTATCGTTTCTAAACAACGTAAATGGAACTTCTTTATCTTTGCTTCTTTGTAAAAGTAGAACTTTTTGGAGTAATGTATTAAATAATATTTTTAACATAAATAAAGTTAATATTTCATACATATTTTAATTCATGTGGTTTTTCAGTCAAGACCTGTAACATGCAGTACCAAAGAAACAACTTACGAAATCGATCACGAATTTGATGGACCTCTAAGAGTGGAAAATGACTTTCATTCAGTGTCAAATGCTGGGTGAGTTAGTATATACATTTGAATTAGTGCACTGATTGGTGAGTTAGTATACAGATACAGACGAGGAGTTAGTATACATAAAGCGTTGGATGAGTTAGTATGAAGAAGGGTGACAAAATAATTGGAACACTTCCATACTTAATCTATGTATTTTTTTTATCAGCAAATGCCATGGAAGATTTTATGTGACAAAACTGATACTACAATTTTAAAGATAATGCTTGAAGCTTTTAAAAAGGGTGACATTTTTACCTGTACGAAATTCAGATCGACCAACATTAGAAGAGGAAACTAATTATTTATTTCCAGCTTTAATAAGAGCAATTTTTGCAATACTTCTACAGGAGAATGAAAATCCAATCGTTGCATCAAAAGTTGTTCAAACAAGTTAGTTTTCTCAAGGTTTCCAAGGGAAACTAAAAATGCAAAAAGTGGTGAATAATTAAATTCAACATTTTAATAAAAGAGATAAAAATCAGCAATATTTTATAGCGCATTTCTTAAGTTTGCCCTTGAAGGTGGATGCAACGAGTGTTTTGCTTTAAATATAAATCAGTTGAAATGTAAGTCATAGTGGTTATTACGATTGAATACAAAAATACAATATGTACAAAACCTTCGCTAAACAGTCGACCTAATTCTGAGTTTACGACTACCAAAGTTCAAATCCGTAGCTTTGCAATTTTGAACCTAATCCAGAAGACAAGGGATCTCCTAGAACAAGTATTGGGAGAAATTCACCTTCGTGGAAGACTTTTTGATGGTTCTAACCCGTTTGCTTTACATGTACGAAAAAAACACGAAAACCTCCCACGATTAGCCTGACGGCAAAGGGACTCTAACCATCATTCGTTTGCCACTCAGGATATTTTTCGTCAGCATTGTGTGCAGAATTGATACCGACCAGCCATTGCCGGGATCGAAATCGTTTTAAATCATTGGGAAGCAAGCGATCTATCCCCTGAGCCACCACTGGCCCACGATTGAATAATTAAAGAGATAATAATTTAATAAAAATGAATTGAGTTTCAATCACTTTTTGCATTTTTAGTCGCCAGTGTCCTCCCTATTTTATCAGCTCTTTACTTTTCTAAAATTGAAGACATGGTTAATAATTGACGGCAGTTCTTTTTTTATCATTAAAAGTGGTGAAATCATAAAGTTTTTTTTCGGGGGAGTAATGTGACTGACTGTAACTGAGATAATCAATACATTCATGTTTTTACATTTAATCATACATTAATTTCTAATATAGTATGTTTTTACATTAATTTCTAATATAGCAACGATGCATATGTATATGTATGTTTGTTAAAATATATTATATGATCGTGCTAAAACGAGAAACTCATTTTTCTTTAATTTGTATTTGTATTTATTTTTATTACAGTTTCAAACATATTAAGCACATAAAAATATACATATTACATAGTGCCTGGTATTGGACTTATCATAACTTCCAACTTTTACGCTTTCCAAAAATATTTTTAGAGGTAGTGGAATGAAAAATTAGTTAATAATAATTGTTAGTAATTTTTTTTCAAAATTCAGCTAGTAGTTGAAAATTGCATCGAATATAAAAATTATTTGGATTTAAAAGTTATTAAAAAATATACTGTAAGTGTTAAACAAAACTGTAAGTATTAGCTCACTATATACGTATCTTCTAAATTAAAAGTCCCGCAGTGGACTGATCGTTAGGACACGGTTCCCAGCAGATCACCGAAGTCAAGCATCACTGGCTGCGGTCAGTGTACGGGTGGGTGACCACTTGGATCAGTCTGAGTAGGGACTAAGGGTGTGCGGTATTGGTCCTCGCTAAACTATTCTACCGTTAAAGTGCTCGACTTTGCGTGTAGTTCGTCGGTCGACCGAAGTGGGGGTGCCATCCCCTCTTCAGAGGATCAAAATTGCGATGGCATGTCTTCGGATCATCCTCAGGGATGTTTCCCAGACCATCACCAATAGCCCATTGTGCAGCTCTAGTGCGACGTAAATGGACTACAACTACAACAACAAATCTAAATTATATATTTTCCGTGGTAATGATATTTTTAAATTTTTCTCCTAAAAATATATAACAAGCCAAATGACTAATTCACCACTTCTTTAAAACTCTAAATAAATGATACTTACTCAATGGTACATTTAAAGTACTGTTTGAGATAACTTTATTTTTTTCCTAATTATAAAAGATGATCGCTTTGGCAAAGAGAGGCACAAGAATTCTCCAGGCTCTTAGTAGCCCAGTTCCCTTTTCAACTTTGAAAAGGATTGTTAGATCAAAAATAAATAGGGATTTCCATCACCAATTATCAGAAAGGCTAAAAACCAAAGTGTGGTGAGATCTTCGACAGAACACCATTCCAGACTGGCCGCGCCGAGAAGCGGTGGCTCAGTTTCCGGACATGACTGTCTAGTCACGCACCTGATTCGTTTAGGGCTGGTACCTGATCCCTATTGTTCTCTGTGCAAGAGCCAAGCTGTTTTGGATAGCGGCTACATCCTGCGCTGCAGGGCCCTCCGCGGGTCGTCGTCTACAGAGTGATATTGGGAAGCAAGAGCGCTCCAGAGGAAATGACTTTTTACTTTCTTGTTTTGTTCCTGTGTTTTTGCTTTTTAACATGTTAATTCACCTCTGCCATTTGAAATAAATAAATAAAAGATGAAGAATTCGAAATTTAAATGAATTCGACGTAACACAGTGTAGCAAAAACTACTACTTTTTACGACTCAGCTTATAAATTGCTCTATTTTACTTTTAGAGAAGTCATGCCAAAAGGGCTTAGTCCATTGTCATTGGATCACACGTTAAAAAATGTACAACTATTAACGAATGTAAGTTAAACTTTCTCGTCATTTCCAATCATTTAAAAACTGATTTCTTATTTTTAAAATATTCTCTTTTTTAGAGTGCTGAGAAGAAGACAATTTTTCAACTTAAAGGAAAAGCTATATACTTTCGTAAAGGTTTCGTACTCATGTACAATCATTTCATGATGAACGTTGCCGATGTAAGTACAGTTTAAACCTATTATTGCTTAACCTATTATTGCTTAACCTATTATTGCTCAACGTCAACAGTTGTTTATAGCTTGTTTCATTTGAGATAACGATATCGAATAACAGAAGTATTGTTGGTACATTCCTTACTCAAAATTTTGTCTAAATTACGATCGCGTCAAATTGACACGTATCCGTAGAGATAGGTATACCATAAAGAGAATTTCAATATTTCAACGCTTTTGAAGAAGATAGACTTCAATATATATTTATGAAATGATTTTATCCTCGATGAATGGATAAAAGACATTACAAGAGATAAAAAAAATACAAACGGGGTTTGAAATTTTCCTTATAAAATTCGAAATGCGTCAAAATGACGCTTCCCGTAAACCTAGTGTTAAAGATGAATGGGAAAAGGGCCGCAAGCGGCCTCGGTTGCCCGGATGTTTCATAGACTTCCGTTCATGATTACAAAATTGCTAATCTTAAAGCAAAAAAAAAGTTATTAACCTCGTCTCCTCATTTTGGTTTATCTGAATATTGCATGGTTAAAAAAAGGTATTACTTTTAATAACTTCAAATCATGATCCCTCAAATTTTGCCATGCAAAACCTCCCAAAACATATGCAGCTGAAAGAAAGATTGTTTACACCGAGTTAGTATAGTTTCCATAATGTTCTCCAACCCCAATGTTCTCCATAATGTTCTCCAACTCCAAAGTGTTTCTATGATGTTCTCCAACCGCTGCATATATTTGTGTTAAATCACATTATTCTATCGTTTTCTTTCTAACTATTTCTCTCTGAAACAGTTAATGTCTTTTTTTTCCCTTAGGTATTTCCATTGAAAGAAAAAGAAGAAATATCTGGCTTGAAGAAAGCAACGCTCATAGCTTTATTCGGCAGAGTACCTGATGTTGAGGAGATGTATCAAGTATGTCGGGATAGATACGGATTGATTCCTGAGGCTAACCCTCTCTTAACAATGAAAATGTTGATAACAGTAAGTCATGCATGGCATGTTTTTATTTTTCTTACAAAATTCAAAAATTATGAATTCAAAGTGTGTAATTGCACTTCCTTGCTATTAAATTTGAGTGGGTTTTTTTTTAACTACTTCCTCTCTGAGTTCTTTAAGGAAATTAATTTTTATCACAAATGCTGGTGGAGCGTATCCATATAAATGGAGCCCCTCCACACCCATATATAGGATATGATAGGCAGTATTGTTTCTAGGGCTACATTCCCTCCAGTTGAAAAAGAAATTACGCCTATTATCAGGATGAACAGAAAAGAGGAACACGTCAGAGAAGATAATATAATTAACACCACTCATTTCTCCTCCAGCTCACATGCTCTGTCGCCTACAGTGACGGTGCCTTGCTGTTAACGTGATGCGCACCATTGGTCGGCGAGGATACAGACCTACAACGTGACGGAGGTTCCGGACAGTCCGGATCGAAACTGTGGTTCCAGTAGCCGAACGAATGTGTTGTTGAAGAAGAGTGGCATTCATATTTCGGTGTCTCCGAGCCGTTAACGTTAAATAACGGTCTTCATTGGTCATTGTTGCACGTCTACGCCCTTGTCCCGATCTTTGGTCTGCAAATCCAGTCTCCAAAAAACCGTTCCAGATCCTAGAAATCACACTATGGGAAACTCCAATGGCTTCTCCTACTTTGGCTTGTGTTTATTCCCTCTCTTACCGGCCAACGACTCTTTAAGTTTTTGATTTGGTGAAATGACTTCGTTGCGACAATGCACTCATTGAAACACTGAGTTACTGAATGTCGATATTTCTTTTCCGCTTTGTCTTACATTATGTTGAAAGCCAAATCAAATTCGCCCCCGCTAAAGCGTCGTCTTCTACGTCAAACTCAAAATTTGCATACTGCGATGCATGAAAATGAGAAAAATTTGCCCTTGTGGACTCTCTTCTTCCATTTTATGCAACAACAAAAAATATTTGCTAATACCGTTAGTTTATACAAGACTTACAATGTCCTTTGAGAAATGTATATATACACACTATCTACCAATAAGTATTTGGACACCTATGCAAATGACTATATCTGAGCTCTTGAGATACGTCACGCCCTCCGCCGGTATCTATCGTGTAGGGAACAACATTGGCATCAGTAAAGAGATATATTCTCTCACTCAAGTAGGAAATATAGCCGGAGTTTCGGTTGAAAATTATAAAGGAAGAGGCAAAGGCTCTATACAATGTTTCAAATTAGGAAATATAGTCGGAGTTTCGGTTGAAAATTATAAAGGAAGAGGCAAAGGCCCTATACAATGTTTCAAATGCCATCGATTTCTACATGCGCAGTCGGACATAACACCAAAAGTTGCACAAAAGCTAAAGAACAGCCCGCTAAATGTACTAATTGTGGCGAAAACCTATGTTGCTATCATTGATAAAATTAATAACAAAAAAGATAACAAAGCATATAGATATCATCAACAAATCATAAGCATAAGTTTCAGCATAAGAACATATATGTCAACAAATCGCATGCTGAATCTCTAAAGCAGCAAGATCAACAAAATGAAATAAATCTCCTAAACCCGAAAATAGACGAAGCTAAAAAGCTTGTTATTGATCTAACTGATATTTTTAAACTATGCAACAATACTGCCATAGCCCAACTTCTAACCACATTGAAAGCTAGCACTGCTATAAATCAGGAAACCAATTCTAATGATAATGGATAGGACGCCTAATAAGTCCAAGCCTATCATCATAGCGGCATGTAATGCCAATGGTATTTATAACAAAAAAGGCGAACTACTGAATTTTTTGGCTACACATGATATCGACATCTGTGCTATCTCTGAAACCCACCTCAACCCTGGTAGCATGGTTAACTTCCTGAATTATAATACTTATCGTTGTGATAGAGTCACCTGCAGAGGCGGAGGTGCTGCAATGTACATAAAGAAAAATTACTCATCCACTCTCTACAGTACGACCAATAATGATGGAAACGAAGAAGTCTCAGCTATTATTGCCTTAAATAACTACAGGAAAACTAAAGTCACGAGCATTTATAACCTCCCGATCATCCACTATCATACAAAAACATCAACGATATCTTCCCTTCACATCTAGAAAATATCATCGTTGGAGACTTCAATGCTAAAAACACCACCTAGGGGAGTAGGAAAAATAATAGAACAGGACTCAGACTTATTAAACAAGTGAAAAATCGTGGACGCACCATTTATGCTCCCACGAAATATACATATACACCGAATGGACCTCGAGCTGCCCACGACATCCCAGACTTCCTAATAACTAATACTAAAGCAACAATCATTGTAGAGACCTACCATGAACTTAACAGCGATCACCTACCTATTGTTGCCACTGTTGAGTTTAGTAAACAGGACCAGAAATACTACCGAATGGCTCTCATTCCATAACGTACTCCATAATCACTCCTTCCTCAAAAGTGATCCCGACTAAAAACAAATGATTAACGAAGAAATTGATAACCTGATCAACATTATACAAGATGCATACAAAAATGCCTCATATAGCACTGAAATCAGGAACGATTATTATAAATTGCCATTCTACATTAAATGTCAAATTAAAATGAAGAATAAATTAAGGAAACTTTATCAGAGAACTCTGGATCCAAACATTAAAAATCAGCTAAATAACTTTAGCAAAAGCATAAAGAAACAAATCGACGAATTTAAAAAAGAAACCTGGAACGAAAAANGCAAGGCTTATTCCGATACTGATAAATGCGAAATTTTCGCAGACGCAATGGAAAGACAATTTTCGCTTAATAACGATCCTATTGGCGCAAATTTCGATGATATTATTATTAATGCTGTCAATAATTTCTTGACAAATGACTATCAGTTAACCTCAGATCCAGTTACTATGGAAGAGATCACCAGTATTATCACCAAATTTCAGAATAATAAAGCTCCCGGTACTGATAATATAAATAACCTCATGATTAACACCCTCCCACCCAACATCATCGAGCAGCTGCTAAACATCATCAATGCTTGCCTCAAGCTGAAATATCCCCCCCCCCATCAAATGGAAACACGCTCAGGTTGCGCTCTTCCCCAATCAAGGGGAAAATCTTCTAAATCCTGAAAGTTACACACCCATTAGTTTGCTGACCGCATTTTCAAAAAGTTTTGAGAAGATAATCCTCAACAGACTAAAGCTCCATCTCAGTTTTATCCCGGAATAACAATTCGGTTTTCGAGAACACCTATCTACCACTAAACAACTAGTGAGAATTATTGAGAATATTAACCAAAGATTCTTCAAAAAAGAAACAACAGCGATCCTGATGTTGGATGAGGTCAAAGCCTTTGACCGCGTCTGGCATCAGGGCCTCATATACAAGCTCATAAATTTCAATATCCCCAAAGATCTAATTCTGCTAATTAATAATTATCTGACAAACAGAACTTTTCATATAAATATTAATACAGCCGTTTCTACCACTAGATGCATTAAAGCAGGAGTTCCGCAAGGATCAATCCTCGGCCCTGTGCTCTACCTGATTTATTCAGCGGACTTTCCAAATTTTAATAATAAGAGAAACATCACCTCAGCCTTCCATGCGGATGATACTGCCCTTATGAGCAGATCCATAAATCCTAAGAAGTCAGTAACTAATCTTAGTAATATCATACCTCATATCGAAGACTGGTGCACAAAATGGAAGGTAGCCATCAACACTACCATATCTTCATTACTAATTATTAGAAAATCAAGTAAAAAGAAAATCGTTTATCCAAATATTACTCTATTCAATGATACAATACCACTAGTTCGAAAGGCCACTTACTTAGGCGTCGTCACCATTACTAGTACTTTAAACTGGAATTCCCATATTGATAATATTATTAAAAAAGCGCAAGGAGCCTATCGAGCTCTGTAGCCGATATTAAACTATAACTCAAAACTTGCACTCAAAACAAAACAAAAGCTATACCTCCAATGCATTCGACCGATCAACAGCTATGCGGCCCCTGCATGGAGCACAACCACTGCTACTCAAAAAATGAAACTAGAGAGTACTCAAAATACATTTCTTAGATACATCACTGGAGCCCCCAGATCCATGAGAATGAAAGATCTAAGAAAAGGTTTAAAAATCAACAAAATAGATGAACACATAGTTGAACTAAGTGCAAATTTCTTCAGAGATGCACTCTCCTGTGATACGTGCAACTACTTTAAAAACTTTGATTGTAAATTGTTGTAAATACTTGTATTTATTTTTGTGAATTTATTATCATGCATTTTTCCTATTTCTCTGAGGCTATATGGCTACTGTGCACCTGCGAAGCTCGGGGGTAATACATCGTGGGGAGGGGGGGGGGCAGTTAGCTACAAAAACCTCTTTTCTCTCTTAAGTTTTTTTGTATAATCTTGGTATCTATATTATATAAAACGCTAATACGTACGTATGTATGTATGTATCAATAAAACCGATGATATTTCTTTTCTCGCGCTGGCAACAGTTTTCATTTTTAATTGACTGGATTCGGCCTCGCAAGAGCACGTAGTGAGCAACCCGATAACAATAACCAGAGTGAGCATTATCAGGTTGTTCAATTCAGATTCATGCACTAAAAACATGACAATATTTAANCAGCCTTCCATGCGGATGATACTGCCCTTGTGAGCAGATCCATAAATCCTAAGAAGTCAGTAACTAATCTTAGTAATATCATACCTCATATCGAAGACTGGTACACAAAATGGAAGGTAGCCATCAACACTACCATATCTTCATTACTAATTATTAGAAAATCAAGTAAAAAGAAATTCGTTTATCCAAATATTACTCTATTCAATGATACAATACCATTAGTTCGAAAGGCCACTTACCTAGGCGTGACCATTACTAGTACTTTAAACTGGAATTCCCATATTGATAATATTATTAAAAAAGCGCAAGGAGCCTATCGAGTTCTGTAGCCGATATTAAACTATAACTCAAAACTTCCACTCAAAACAAAACAAAAGCTATATCTCCAATGCATTCGACCTATTAACAGCTATGCAGCCCCTGCATGGAACACAACCACTGCTACTCAAAAGAAGAAACTAGAGAGTACTCAAAATAAATTTCTTAGATACATCACTGGAGTCCCCAGATCCATGAGATTGAAAGATTTAAGAAAAGATTTAAAAATCAACAAAATAGATGAACACATAGCTGAACTATGTGCAAATTTCTTCAGAGATGCACTCTCCTGTGATACGTGCAACTACTTTAAAATCTTTGATTTTGAGCTCATCAAAGACAACATAAAATATAGCCCGGCAACCACCTTTTTTCTATCCGATGGGGTATTGTCCCGTAAATTTTGTAAATAGTTGTAAATACTTGTATATATTTTTGTGAATTTATTATCATGTATTTTCCTATTTCTCTGAGGCTATATGGCTACTGTGCACCTGCGAAGCTCGGGGGTAATGCCTCAGGGGGAGGCGTGACAGTTAACTACAAAAACCTCTTCTCTCTCTTAAGTTTGTTTGTATAATCTCGGTATTTTATTTTAATTTTCTCTCACTAAATGTTACTGAACCCCAACTTTCACCATTCAATTGTGCTTCGGCGATTTATCATGCATTCCCACTCAGATGAATTAGTTAGAGCCCCTCGCAGGGCTGATGCTAAGATAACTACCACATATGAGTATAAGTATGAGTATTGGCCCATGCAAGATGCCACGCAGTTCGGAGCTCTCTGAGTTCGATAAAGGTATAATTGTCGGGTGTCACAAAAATGGCCGATCCTAAAGGGACATATCTAGCGAGCTGAATTACCCAAAATCGACAGAGGCTTATAAGATTAAGAAGTGTAAGGTGAGCGGTGAGTGTTGGAATGTGCCCCGAGTCGGAAGACCAACGAAACTGAGAGATTGAGTCCGACGGATGTTGTCGAGAGAAATTCGGCAGAACCGCACCCAGCCGATGGCCCACCTACTAAAGGAGTTTCAACAGGCATCCGGGAGTGTTGTTTCAATTAATACCATCCGTAAGGAAGCACATCTGCCTGGTTTTCATGGTCGTGCTGCTGCCCATAAATCTTTGATCGCAAAGTCCAACTGCACTGCTCGGTTAATGTGGGGCAAAGCACATCGAAATTGAACCATAGATCAGTGGAAAGCGGTTCTTTGGAGCGACGAATCAAGGTTCATCCTCGACCATTCGGATGGCAGGGTCTGGGTTTGGTGTATGCCTGGAGAATGTCTCCTGCCAGAATGCATTGTGCCAACAGTCAAGTCGGCGGAGGTGAAATTATGCTCTGGAGGTGTTTCTCCTACTATGGATTGGGATCCTTGGTCCCCATTCATGGTAAGCTCAACGCAGGTGCCTACTGCACTATTATGTATGACAATGTGCTTCCTACGTTGCAGCAGTTTTACGGAGTGGACCCCTGTTACTTCCAGGACGACAATGCCAGCTGTCATGTTACGAAGATCACCAAGGCTTGGTATGGTGCCAATGGGGTTAATCGAATGGACTGGTCTGCCCAGTGCCCAGACCTGAACCCTATCAAGAACCTCTGGGACGAGTGGGATCACCGAATTAAAGGGTGTACTACCCGTCCAAAATCGGTGAAAATCATGTCTTCTCCAAGCCGAGTGGAAGAAAATACCACTAGCCGTCACGCAAGGACTTGTGGATAGTATGCCCCTGAGGGTTCACGCAGTAATTGCCTCTCGTGGAGGCTCGAACAACTATTGATTATGAATAAAGTTTTTTTTCTTTTCAACCACACATGTCCAAATATTTATTGGTAGTTAGTATATATATATANTCCAGTTTATCAGAGAGTATAACCACAAGTAAAACCATATAAACTATTTTATATTTTTACAAATAGTTAAATCTTCCTTAAAATGGAAACTATGTAAAAATATATATAAAAAGTTAAAAATTGTTATATATATATATAGATAGATAGATAGATTCTTAGAATAAAGTGAATTTAAAAAATTGATAACTCTGATTAGCCTCATAAATTGTGAAACGTTTGCGACGCATAATTTTGCAAGATTAAAGCAACTAACAGTACCCTTTTTCTTTTCAGACTATGCTTCAAACTGGAAACATTGTTAGAGATTGTTCCAAAACTATTTCAAAGTACAGCTTATCAGTTGAAAAGTATAATACTTCAAATGAACTCTTCGATGCTATATTATATGCCTGCACAGATCTTGCTCCGGTGAGACATATTTTACTTCTAATATTTGCTGATACCTTATCAGATCATATTGAAATTTGATGCTTTTATAAAAATATTTGGTCTACCAGAAAATTCTGTCTGCAAAAATACCCGCTACATTTACAATAATGCAAAAGGTTCTTTTATGAAGGAAAGCGAAAGAGTATTTACCCTTTAACTCGATTGTAATGTTCTAGCTTAAAGATACACAGTATATTATGCACCTTTAAGCGATTTCTTCAACAAAACAAAGTGTTAACACAAGCGCTTAATGTTTTATCATTTTTTTTTTGTAGAAACAGGATAATCCTGTCTATAACAATATATTTTTATACTGATAATGATAGGAATATATATATGCTAGGTCTACAGGAAAAATACACTTGTGGTGTAACAGTTAGGCTGTCTGCTTTTTTCCAGAGAGTTCTTGGGTTCAAATCCCAACTGGGACAATTAATTCTGTCCCTAATATTTTTAACCAGCAACCAAACAGATAGCTGGATGCAAAGTGAACGAGAAGACCTCGTGATGAAGAAGTTGATGACCCTTCGGTGTAGAAATATTAATCTCAGTTTTATATAGGTATAGGTTAAAAGGATGATAGACTCTATACACTGGTTGGGCTTTGTCCCATGATCTTTTTTTAGAGTTATTCGTTTTTCCTTGACTAACGAAGCTTAAAAACTTTTTTAAGATGTTTTGAACCTCTATATGCTGTACTATTTAATTGTGAGTATATATATATATTTTTTTTTAAATTTTGTAGGTAACTTTATGCCACACAATTAGTTCCCAGACTTCTTCATTATTAAATCTGATAGTTCTGATGATTCTTGGAGCAGGCCAAGGTGGTGAGTAAATGTTGCATTTATTTCATATATATTAAACTAAACTCGATTTAAGTTCTGTATTTATGCACATTCTCAGCAAGCAAGGCTTTTTTTTCAATAAAATGTACAGTTCAATAAAAGGCCGTGGTACCCCAGTGGTTAGAGAGTCTGACTCTGGTCAGGCGGACCCGGGATTCAATCATCGACTCCACTAAAACCCATGTAATACACGTGCTCGTAAAATCTGTGGAATCGAAAGTTCTGTAGTCGTTCACTGAGCAGTACCAAGGGCACAGGGATTTGCAGAACATTTCCTTTCCTTTCAGATCTACGTCAAAGTTTCCTCGCGAGTGGTGCTGCCATCTATCCGTCGGTTTCTGAGCTAAAACGTACTTTCATCCTTTGCGATGCTCTTTAGTCAAACGAAATGTGCACTTTTTTGACTGAATTTGTAAAAAAGACCAATGGCTGACCTGGCGAGCTTCGCTTGTCCCAGTGTCATTAAAAACGACAACATAAATGCGAAAGCTTGTCTCTCTCTGCTTGACTTTTATAAAAAATGTAAAATTTTATTCTGATTGAGAATAAGTTTGTAAATTTTTTTTTTACGCTTGGTAAATATCCATGGAAATGATATAGAGGTTAACTTTTTCTGTTCCGACGGGACTTAAATTCCAACTAATATTTTGTCCTTATAGTATTGAAATTGAACAAAATGGTCTCATCGGAACTTGCTTGTCCCTAGAATATGACTTTCCATTTATCATTGCTAGTTGACAGTGGACGATTATCTGAAGTTAAACATCACCTATGGGACTATTTAGTTGTTTACATTTCATTCGAAGACGATAGTTCATGATTCCTTAACTCTCAGCTGTCTATTTCGATCAATTTCGAAAGTCTTTCATATTTTTTATTGATTCATTAAAAATTTCAACTCGTTATGAAACAAAAATACTAAATGTTCAACTTTAAATATATTTTTACAACGTAGAGTAAGTCTAAATTTAAAAAGTTAATAAAAAAATTGGATAATAATTTTGAATATTAAAATAAAACTTTTATCAATGCATTAAATAGTTATAATTAAGTGGGACAAATCAATAAAAAGGCTCAGTTTCAGTAATTTTTTCAATAGTTTGAGAAATAAGGCTTTAAGTCCGTTTATATTATTGAGAAATATCATACCAAGTATTACTGAGGTCACGTTAGGAAAATAATAAAGATTCTATATTTAGAGGGGAATTGAATTATTATTTATTGCAGTTTACTAAAAAAAAATTTATAAACTGCCGTTGTTATCACTATGAAAATAATTTCTGAGACTACAAAAATTCCGTAGTTGTTAAAGGGTATGCTAATTTTCAATTTTTCTAAAAAAATTACTTTTGCAGTTACTTAAGTTGGAAAAATTAAAGTTTTCGAATATTCTTCTAGAAATTTCACTACCAACAGCTTCTTAGATTTCTATAGATGCTCTTCAGCTTATCTACCAAGGATGAAAATATTTGCTGCTGAAAGAAAGATTTGTTACATAAAAGCTAGCATAGAAATATTTCCACAGTTTTGTCCACCCCTTACATTTTGAGCAAATTAAAAGTAGTAGTAAAATTATTGTGTTATCAGTCTATTACAGGTAGAGTTAATGCATTGATAATTATATATCTTATGACTAAACATTTAGTGAAGGTATTCTTTTAGATTTGGTAGTTAATCAACTAAAAAAATTCCTATGATTCTTAAGCAAAAACATAACTATCATTTTTTATTTGATGGTTTCCTCTTAGTTAGAAAATTAATTATCTCGGAAGCCAATGGGCCAATTTTTGCTTTATCAATTTTCTTATCCTCTTCTTGAACTATATGTTCAAAATAATAAGATCACCATCTAGATAGTTACTAATAAAGAATACTTTCAGATGTTGGGGAAAGAGTTTACAATGATTTTGGAAAATTGTTAAAAACCGGGATTGATGTTGAAAGTGCTGATGTTCCTTCTGCTACACAGGTAAATATAATTGTGATATTCATTTATACAATATATACACCGAAGAGCCATTACATTATGACCACCCTCCATCTATAACAATGGGCTCGCCCACGTTTTCATGGTTTCTCGCCCAGGAACAATGTTTTCATGGGGCTCATTAGGACTCATAATCCTCATAGAACAATCCCTGACGTCTGTAAGCCTACTTGAACATAGTTGCAGACCAGGTTCGGTTCACCCGTTCATGGCAACAGTTTTTCCTACGAAGGATGGTGTTTACCAACAGAATAATGCACCATGTCAAAGGGGTCGAATCGTCGAGGAACATTCCAGTGACTTTCAAGTCATGTCTTGGCCCCCAAATTCACCTGAGCTTAATCCAATAGAACATTTGTGGTCCTACTTGGAAAACCAAATTCGTGCTGCCACGCTACCGCCTCGCAATGTGAGGGAATTGCAGGACCAGTTCGTGAGCGCTTGGTACCAGATACCTCAGACTACCTATCAGCACCTTGTGGAATCAATGCCACGGTGGGTGCTAGCAGTTTTGAGGGCTGAAGGTGGTCCTACATGTTATTAGCAGGGTGGTCATAATGTAAATATTCATACTCTGTCATTTATGCAATTATATTCATTTAAGTTTATTTCACTGTTAAATGAATGAAACAATTATCTCTAAATAATCAAAGACTAAATTTTGAAATCTTTTTTCCCTGACTATTTTCATATCGTTGTTTATTATAACTATGATTTTGAATCAATTTATTTGAATTTAAAAAGATATTGATTTAAAAAACAAACATACAATAAGAATGAAATACTGGATTACTAAATCTGTATCAGCAGGGAACAGAGACATCTAGAAAAATAGAAACAATTAATATTATTTTCCTCTCTATGTGTTAAATACAATCATTATTATTTATCGTTGTGTTGATTAGTAAAAGGGTTTAAGCTCTCTTTTTAATTTTTGGGGGTATTTAAGGCACAAAACAACTTTGTGTTTGTACCTTTTCTGCACAAATCAATTAACATGTTTAAAGTTAAACCCTTAAGCGATCCAGGTTACATTTCAGAGCGTTCAATAACTAGATCAAAAACAATTCAAGTGATCTGCATTTTTTCTTATTTTTTATTTATGTATTTTATTTATTTATTTATTTATTTATTTTGAGGATTCAGCGTTGTGCTTTACACTGAATATTTAGTAAAGGCTGAAAAAAATATTTTTCTTTTGATCGTGGAACGTAAAATTTGCTTGGACCAGAAAAATTTTATTTTATTTTATAATCGTCGTTAAACAGCCTACCCGATTTTGAGTTTACGACTTGTTCAATTTCATAGCCCTGTAGTTTTAAAGACGGAAGACAAGGGAATACCTTGATCCAGCATTTGGAAAAGATTGCCTTGGCGGAGGACTTTTCGATGGAACGAACCGTATTAGCGCTACATAGAGAAGAAAACCACGAATACCTTTCACGGTTAGTCTGGTGGCAAAGGGATATTTTACGTCAGCAGTGGGGCCGGTGAGAGCCGGTTGTAGACTTCGTATCTACCAGCCACCGCTCGGATTTAAACCTGGGTCACCTGATTGAAAGGAGAGCCCTCACTGTTCAGAGCAGAGAAATTCAATAATTATTTTTTAATTTTATTTAATATTTTTTCTTTTATTTTACTTGTGCATTTCTTTTAAAACTTTCTGTTTTATTATCGAAGCACTATTTTCGCAATTATTTACCCTTGTCCTTCAATCTTTTCGACATTTAGGCAAGATTTTGTTCAACGCGCTCTGTATATAACTGTACATAGTTTAGTAAATAATTTATTTTAATAAGTTTTGCTTATCTTATTTCATGCTTACTTTTATCCATGTTAAACAAAAACTGCATGCTTTGATGGCCTCTGAAATTGTATTTACCCGTCTTCTCTTAAGATTAATTTCTCGGATCAGTATTGATCAACAATTATTCAATAACTCAGCATATTTCAGCTAAGCATATTTAGTCAATAAGTATCTATAAATAAGTGAGAGCTGTGCAAGGCTGACCCTGAGTAATAATTACTTTAATTACTTTTTAGGTAAATGATAAATTTCCGAAAATGTATTTTACTTTTAAGTACTGGAATAGTTTAATTGTTTTGTTTCGATTAATAATTGGTACCTATGAAATATATTCATATCAATCATGTAGTCAAACTTACGTAAAAAGTCAATTTAATATTTTTAAAAAAATTGTGTCTTTTGGAATTGGAGGAATTTTTAAATGCTATTTTCACCTCATTTTTATGTATTATTTCCAAAATCTTAAAGCAAAGATGTGCCGTATGACATTTAATAATAATTGCTATTATATAGAGAGAAAAAATCTAATTAGAATTCAACAAAAATGTCCTAAAAAAAATATGACCAATTCTCAAAAAATTGTTGCTATCAATATGAACTTTTCTAATGAGTATAATGATTTAAGCCACTATTCAATATCATCATTTGAGTATCCTGCAGATAATTAATTGCATTGTACTTACAGAATTAAGAGGAAAAGTAACCTTCAAAATTTATAAAATAAAAACTTTAGAAAAATCTGAAAAAAATTAGTTTTTAGAATTATGAGTTTAAAAGTTTCACTCTTTATCACATGAACACTGATTCAAGTTTTGAAATATATAAAATCATAAGTAAATACATAACTATAGTACTATAAAATTTGTACTTATAGAAAAAAAAATAAAACACAAAATTTGTAGAATTCGCATTCATTTCTTAAAATATTTGCGCACCATGTAAACTGAAAATACTGATTTAAATAGAACATATTTTAAATGGTATAAAATTAGCACAAGGCAAGTTTGCATGCAATTTCAGAAACCAAAAAGTGAAGAAAAAAAATTGTAAGGTTTTCTTTTTTTCCCAAATTTTAACTGTTGTACTCAAACGGGAAAGGTATCGTTTTTTGGTGTCATTTTTTTCTACTTTTCAAAATTCCGTGTTATCCTTAATGTGACAACAACAAAAAATTAAATTACTATTCCCCCTACTTTATATATAGTTTTGTAGTATAGTTTTGCAAATGTGAAAAATAAAAACATTTTCATAAAATATCCCCTTTTCAGAGTATAGCATTTCATATCGGAAAAGAAATGAAACCAGAAGATTTCAAAAAGATGTCAGTTCAGGTAATGCTTTCGATTAAAACAATAAAACATTTGTTACTTGAAAAAATACTATATGTCTGAAGAAAAAAATGAAATTGTTTATCTATAAAGGAAGCTCTAAACTGGCTGCAAACATCTTCAACTGTGGCAGGAGAAAAGTTTAGACAGTTCATCGAGAAGCATGGACATAGGTGCTTACAAGAGGTATTTTTGACTCATTACGAATTAACTCATTTTTAAAAAAAAGAAAAAAAACTATTTTCGTTTTAAAACCTATTTTAGAAACCCTATTTTCGAATAGTCGATTAAAGGATCGACAATTTACTAACTGTATAACTTATTTTTATCTCCGAAAAATATTTTTAAATTAAAGGAAAATACATGCAGATTTTAAAACAGACAAAATGGATGCAAAAAACTCAATCCTTCAAGTTTCCGACATATTCACTTTTTAAATTGAAGTATTAATTAACTTTAATTAATTATGTAAATAAACTATAACTATAATAACCGGCAGTACGAAAAATCATACAGACTTAAATACAATTTACCGACTTAAACCTATCATCTGAATTGAATTTTATAAAATGAGAAAAGTACTTAAAATTATTTAGACCTCATTTTACAAAAAAATTTCTTTTTGATTAAAAGTGGTAAAAAATTGTACTCTTGGCTAGTTTTACCTTGGTTTAATCTATTGCCTGTTACTGGCGTAATATTACGTTCCGTTCTAGTCCTACCATTTCCACTTCTTTTTGTTTCATCCTTTTATTCCCTACGTCATTCCTGCATGTTAACAAAGAGAGAGAAAATAGATAGTATTAAAACAAGTGAGGGGTTATCAAAATTATTTATTGATGATTTTGAAAACCATTATGATTAAATAGTTTATTTAAATATATAAGATTTCTGACACAGTCTTTAAAAACTTAAAAAGTAATTATAACATTAAACAAAATCAAGATGTTTTCTAATAAATTTATATTCACCACAACACTTGGAGTTTCCAAATAAATTTATCTGATGACGAAAGTACGGGGTTTGAAATTTTAATTTCAAAGTGAAAAAAAAAAATTTGAAACTTCCTAATTACAATAGTGACACAGATTTTTAATTTTTTGAGGACAGCATAAACACTTTTACAATAAACTTTAAAAATATAAAGTTTTTGCAAAGTGAAAAAAAAAATAGTGCGTGGAGTCCCTCCGCGTGGAAGAAGTTAAACTTCGCAACCTGCGACGTTAATTGTAGAAGAATACATAATTCCTTTTGNATGATTACAAGTAATTGATTACTGTAATCAAAAAATGTAATCGATTACATTTTTGGCCAACTCTGCTACATACAAACTGAACTCATTTTTCTCTACGAAAAATATTTTTGAACTAAAGGAAAATACATGCATATTTTATAACACACAAAATGTATGCGTAAAACTCAATCCTTAAAGTTTCCAACATATTCACTTTTTAAATTGCAGCATAGATTGAAGTATTACTTAACTATAACTATGATTAATTATAAATTCAATTACTCATGGCACGAGATGTCATACAGACATAAATACAATTTACCGATTTAACCCTTAACGCACAGGTCTTTTGAAAAAAAACGGCCAAAAAAATCAATTTTTCTTATGTAAAGAAACACACTTTAGAACATTGTCTTTTCTCATGGCGGACAATTTTGATATACTGTTCCATGAAAAAAGGCTATATAATATTTTATTCTTGAATAAATAAGTGTTATAGCTTGTAATCCTATGTAAATTATAAATATCAATAAAACGATTTTTTGTCTTAGCTTTCACATTGCTATTTTCAATTCTAGATTATATTCGAGTGTGAAAAATTACAGCAGCATAAAATACAACGCCGCTCGAATTAACTCGAGCGAGCAAGTTAAGGGGTTAAACATAGGGCTATCCGGTCCTTTATCTGAATTGAATTTTATAAAATGAGAAAAGTACTTAAATTTATCTAGACCTCATTTCATAAAAAGAAAATCTTTTTGAATTGAAAGTGGTAAAAAATTGTAAACTGGGCTAGTTTCAACTTGGTTTAATCTATTGCCTGTTACTGACGTAATATTACGTTCCGTTCCAGTCTAAAGAATAAATAGAGAAAAAGAATGAAATATATGACAACCGAAGCTGATGTCGTCAGGGGGTACCTGCCCCGGAAGTCATAAATGCAAAACCTTTTCTATCGAGAGTGCACGACGAAATCTTTATGCATACGTTCTTTTATTACTAGCATTATAGATGAGTAAGGGAATCTGTAGAATCCTTTTTAGTCAAAATTTTTACCATTTAATTTGAATATATTCCACAGTGATTCAGGATCCATTGTAAAGCAATTTTTTTTTTAATTAGGTTTTGCAAAATACTTTAGTTTAGCTATACAAGCCTTATTTCTATGCGAGTCAGTAGGCCTCGGGTAGATGTAAGCCTAAATCGAAGACATTGAGTCAGACAATATTAGCAAAATTCTCGCACCAAGAAATCAGTTGTTGAGTATCCAATCTCACCTCTTGGCCTCCACCTCTTCACCAAATGGTAAAGGGGCGAATAGAATGCAAACAAATCAGAGAAAACTCCAGCTCCCACGTTTACCTCCTACAAATGGCGGAATTCATCCATATAAATATGCAGCTATTCCTGTTTAAAAAAGATATTTGGTGTGTGTATATAACGCCTGGAATTAGAAAAAGGAAGTGTTTTTTTTTTTTTTTGCTTAACTATTGGAATTTTGCGTACCGCATAAAGTGCAAGATTTATTGCTATATTGTTCAAATGACCAAACAAATTTTTACCAAAATGTTTTCTTTCTTATATTTTGTAATACTTTATTATAGTTTGACCTGCATTCAGTTCGTTGGAGAGAAAATCCTGAAATACTAATAAAATTATTACAGGTAAGAATAAAATTCAATTACACCTGCTCATTCACTGAAATAACTTTTAATTGTCTTCTGACCTTGCCATTAATTCCTNTAATACATAATAAGGGGACGGAAAGATGTTAAATCCAAATAAATGTCCTGCAAGGACATCATGTCCAGTTTCTTAAGCGAAACGCTGCAACAGCACGCCGTCTCGAAAATTTAAAAAAATATTTCCTATATCACTTATCCTTTATTTGACATGCTTGTCTAGGTCGAAATTTTAATGCATACGTTCTTTTATTACTAGTATTGTAGATGAATAAGGAATAGGATTACATGGAATCTGTAGCATTCTGGTTTCCTTTTTAGTCAAAAAAAAATTTAACATTTAATTTGAATAGATTCTTCGATGATCCAGGCCAATTGTAAAGCAATTGTTTTTTAATTAGGCTCTGCAAAATACTTTAGTTAGCTATATAAACCTTATTTCTATGCGAGTTCAGCAGGCCTCGGATAGATGTAAGCCTAAATCGCAAACGTTTGGATCGCTCTAAATCGGAGACATTGAGTCAGACAATAGTAGCAAAATTCTCGCACCAAGAAATCAGTTGTTGAGTATCCAATCAAATGGCCTCCACCTCTTCACCAAATGGTAGAGGGGCGAATAGAATGCGAACAAGTCAGAGAAAATTCCAGCTCCCACGTTTTCCTCTGACGAATGGCGGTATCCATCCATATAAATATGCAGCTATTCTGTTTAAGATATTTGGTGTGTATATAACGCCTAGAATTACAAAAAAGAAGTTTTTTTTTTTTTTTTTTTGATTTTNTGGAATTTTGCGTACCGCATAAAGTGCAAGATTTATTGCTATATTGTTCAAATGACCAAACAAATTTTTACCAAAATGTTTTCTTTCTTATATTTTGTAATACTTTATTATAGTTTGACCTGCATTCAGTTCGTTGGAGAGAAAATCCTGAAATACTAATAAAATTATTACAGGTAAGAATAAAATTCAATTACACCTGCTCATTCACTGAAATAACTTTTAATTGTCTTCTGACCTTGCCATTAATTCCTTAAGGCAATTTTTAATAATTTATTCTTATCGTGTTATAATGATGAGTTATTTCACAAAACAATAAATAAAGTAAAAATTAAATGTATCACTTACATCAAATTGGAAGAAACAGGAAAGATAATTTAAAGTTTTCAATATTTTTTTTAAATTCTGACCTTTTAAAATTTAAAAAGAGTTTTAAAATTTTTACTTCAAAAGCCTTTTCTTTAAATAGGTATGGTGTTTCTTGTGGAAGTGTGAATGTATAAATTTTTATACCATATTTTATATAAAAATGAATCTTGAGAAAATTCGAAAAATTATTAAAAATGGCTGTTCAATCAATAAATAAAAGGGGCTCTACACTTTCTTTTTATGGTGTCTTATATGAAATTTGTTTGCTTTTATTATTGATCCAGTTTCATCTTGTTCTGTACTTAATTTTTAGTGCTAAATTCTAATAATGCAAAATGATAACTTATTCATATACCATTTTGTCAAGAATCATCTGATTTGGATTCAAGGATCATTTGAATAACTAATTGTAAAATTTAAAAACTAAAATAGTTGCCTAAAATAGTAATTTCATTTTTATATATTATCGCTCTACAATGATAGATTTAATATAGCCTTCCATCGGCTTGCAACGAACGTGTTAAAGTATCGCATCCTAAGCTGAAATCTATTATCGTCTTCCTACTACTACTCCCTACTTAGCAGAGAAGTGGGGACACAGTATTCACTCCTATGAAATTTAAGAATGAGTGATGAAGTTTTGAATTTTTAAAAGTTCTTGGTTAGGACTATATTATTAAATTGCATAAAAACTGTAGCATCTAGTAGTAAACCGATTGGAGATTTGAAATCGATGATGTCAAGATATCCGAGATTTGATCAAAAATATCTTACAACAGAAAGAAAATAAATTGTTCCCCTATGCAATCCATTACTATTTAACACAGCGGTCCCTTGATGTAAAGCCCTTGCTTATCTGTTTCTTTTTTTCTACTCCAATAGAGCCTTGTCGGTAATGTATCGAATGTTACTACTGAAAACAATTCTGATAATGTGGATGATTTGCTCTCAGGACTATCTGTGCAATTAGGAACCTTTGCAAAGTATGTTATCTGTTCTAATTATTTCTCATTGATACAATTTCTAATCAATGTAAACATTTTAGTACATTTATTAATGCATAGTATGTTTTATTATTTCATCACTAGACTTATGCGGATTCGTGGCTCTTAATTTTTGAAATCATCATGTGACCTAGAACTACTTATTAGATAATATATTTCATGAGGCAAGGATCGGGACAAAGTAGTTTCGTATAAAAATAGTTTTGCACATAACTGATCTTCACTCGTGTTACGTTGATAGGGAAACCACGAAAAGTTATCGAAGTTCGCTCAATTAAAATTAGAACTCTAGTTCATAAGATCCGTCAGCAAATGTGGATACTTTGTATCAATAATATGAGAGAACTATTCGGAACTTTATACAAATCAACCAGGTACTCCTTTATTTTAAAACTTTTTTTTCAATCACCATCGATAAAAAAAAAATCTGATTAAAGTTAAGCTCTGTGTGCTTTGAAATATTGAATCCAACTCAAAACAACGGAGAAAACTTTAGTTTGTACACATCTACGCTAAAAATGGAGTAATCATGTCTAGGCTTTTGCTTTAAAATTAGAAATTTTAATAAGCACAGTTCGGATTTTTGCTCAAAGATTTAAATATTCTTACAGCAATCTGACATTTACTTACAATAATAAAGTACAATTTTTCATTTTAATAGTTCTACATCCTTTTAAGTTTTTCCTGTTGTATATGAACCCTGGGATCAAGAAGTGATATCAAGACTGAGAATTTTTAAAAAAATATTCCCACTTCTGTATCAAAAGAAGTAAAATTTCCGTGTTTATAACTACTTACTTTATTTCATAACCGTCATTGAAGAGCAGACCCAATTTTAAGCTTTCTACTACCTATGCTCAACTCCGTAGTCCTGTAGTTTCGAATCCAATCTCCTATGGTTAGTCTGACGGCAAGGGGGCTTAACCCAATGATCTGTCTACTACTGAGAATATTTTACGGCAGCACTATGGTCGGTGCAAGCGGGGTTCGGTATTCGTATCAACCAGCTATCACTGAGATACGAACCCGGGTCCCCTCATTGGGATCCGAACCCTCTATCCCCTGAGCTACAACATCTCTATGACTACTTACGAATATTAACAGTTAAAATATTTATATTTATTTTTGTAAAAGTTCACAATATAGATGAAAAAAGAAATGATGATCAAAACTAATCTCCAGTGTCCGCTATAGACTTTATCGTGACTTTTCAAGACAACAGCATCAGAGCAAAACTAGTTTTGAAACAAATTTGATATACTGTAAATGCCATATTTGCTTATAAACTTAACACACCATTATTTTTTATTTCAATTTGCTCGTTAGTTATTGTAATTTTAAGAGCTTTTTTGCTGATTTTTTTCTAACTTTCATTCCTGCTTTACGTCATATTTTGTTTTGCTGCTCAAAATCTATAATACTTAAAAACTTACGAAATTACGAATGTGGGTAAAAAATGTACAAGCAGCTCGATGAATTAAAAAAGATACGATTATTAGTTCGAGAATTATTAACTGTTAAAGGTATAGTAAAAAAAACATGTCGATTGATCTACAGTCCGCTGAAATGTAAATTTGCCGTGCTTAGAGGACCATTTTGAATTATAACTTTAAGAAGAGTTTTTTTTTCTTCGAAATTTCAGTTAATGCAATTTTAAGTGCTTTTTTTCAATTTTTTTCCTGCTTAACAACGTATTTTCTTTTAATGTTTTAATCTATAAGTCGCTGAAAGTTTCATAAGGCAATGTTCTATTGAGCGGTATAGAAAAGGCAACTACCTATCTGTTACATAAATAAAAGAATTTTCAAAATTCAGAAATAATTTCTTCCGATATTATATTCTCAAGTTATAAAACTCCAATAAAAAAAACTACTCAAGAATTATTAAAATTGCTTTATTTGCTTTTCTAGAGAATCCCAAAATGATATTTTTAATTTTATTTTCATAGATTCTTTTTAAAATGGATTCTGCCTTTTACAAGAAGAGGTGTCCAATATCGAGAAACATCAAAAGTAAGATATTTCCTGGCTATCAGGCAACCAAATTGATTTTGATATTTTTAATCCCACTTTTCCCACTAGTGATTCAAAAGATTTTCTGACAGCCTTCATTTGAATGTTCATTTCCTCCCAGTAATAAGTTTCAAGCGGACCTTGAAAATTTAAAAAAAAAATTTATAAAACTAAATCAAACACAGGTACAATAATGACAATGTAATCACCATTATGCAAAGAAACTATATCTGTACAAAGATTCTCGACAGCCGAATCACTAAATATAAGTGGTTACATAAAAAAAATACATTCCTAGTAATTTACTGGCACTTTTAAAAATTTTAAAGGTCTTTTGTTACTTTGTCCAATGCGCGTACTTTTCAGCCTTCATACTGAAAAATACGCACATACCTTAAAGAGAAACCTTTAAGTAATTCTATTAAGGGCAGTATATCGTAATATAATTAAGAGAAAAGTGTAACATTAAGGGGAAGTATAATATTAAGGGATAAGTATAATTTAGTAAGGGATAATATTAAAGGAAAAGTAATAATGTAAGGGCAGTACAGAATTTATATTAAGGGACTATATAATCGTATTGTCGAACAATTAATGATAATTCTAATAGCCAGGCAAGTGTTTGGGAAAGTCCATTAACTTTTAATTAGAATTTGTGTAAAGAATTAAACAAATAATCACAAATATTGCAGAAAAATGAATGAATAAGGAAAATAATAGTAAAAAAATACTAGTCTTAATTATTAGTTTATCTTTATTTTGAAAGATTGGTTAAGAAAGATTGGAAAGATTAAATTTTCCGAGTTGATAACTAAACATATTATATGCTGGTGCAATTAATACTTAATTGAAGCAACACTGTGAAATGCAGTTTGCACTATTCAAACCAAGTAAATTTTGAAGTTAAATATAGTTACGACTGTCTGTTAAATACGTAACCGCATAGGTGTCAACCCGAAAGTCCAAAGCTTCCCAAACTATTTGAAGTGGTAGCCAAATAACAGTTTAAGTTGAACTTAATTAGATGCGTGAGTGTGAATTCGAATCACCACATCATGTGTATAAATTAAACTCCATACATAAATGCATGCTAAATTATAGCAGGCATGTTTAAGCTTTGAAAAACTATAAAAATATTTCAGTCAGCTAAAGATTTTTCGAATTTCGTAGTCCAACAACAAGGGAAAAGGTTTATTGAAAGGAGCAAAAAGTAGCTATAGATTTAATAAGAGTAGGTTTGGATTAATTACCGAAAAATTTCGTTTATCAACTCCAGCCCGATATCCACACTAGCCCTCCTCTCCCCTGTAGCTCTTAGCATTTTGATAATACTGAAAAAGAGCGAAGAGTAGCTTTGGATTAATAAGAGTATGTTTGGATTAATTACCGAAAAATTCCGTTTATCAACTCTAGCCCGATATCCACACTAGCCCTCCTCTCCCCTGTAGCTCTTAGCATTTTGATAATACTGAAAAAGAGCAAAAAGTAGCTTTGGATTAATAAGTGTAGGTTTGGAGAATCACCAGTTAGAGAATTACCGAAAAATTCCGTTTATCAACTCTAGCCCGATATCCACACTAGCCCTCCTCTCCCCTGTAGCTCTTAGCATTTTGGTAATATTGAGAGTGATAAATTAAAATGTGTTCGCGTTATTAAATATGATGTTTTTTTTCTTTTTATTCCTTACTATTAAAGAGTTAGATGAATTGAGACATTTTGGGTTATTAATAAGGATGTTTTTCTTTTTATTCCTTGTTAGAAATGAATTAGATGAATCAAGAAAGTTAGGGTTATTAATAATGTTTTCTTTGTCCTTGTCATTAAAGGGCATTAAGACATTTAGTGTTATTGGCAACTATGTTTCTCTTTTCAGTCCTTGTTTATAAAAGGTTATGATGAGTGGCGTAAAGGCTGGAAAAGAATGGGCCAGTTAATGGTAGAAGAAGGAAGGATACCAGATGAAGATTTATTATTTTTCATGACAGTCGATGAAATTCAGCATCTCTTGAAGACAAGGTCGCCAAACGTAATCGCCAGGTACTGCTTTTCATAAAGTTCTGCCAATATAATACTGGTGAAATAAAAAATATATATGTAATTATGAAAAAACATCTTCTTCTGCTTCCAAATCCCCAAAATTAACAGGACTAAACAATGTCCATGAAATGTATGACCCGGAGGAAGTCTGCCATCAAAAGTGGGTTTTCTAGAATGTCCTTCTTGTTCAGTCCAAGGCAGTCCAGGATGTGTTGGGGAGAAGCCTGCATGTTGTGGCACCAGGGGCAGTTTGGGAAGATTTTAACACTACCCTCGAAAGAAAGAGACTTAAGGTGGNGCCAATATAATACTGGTGAAATAAAATATATATATATATAATTATGAAAAAAAATCTTCTTCTGCTTCCAAATCCCCAAAATTAACAGGACTAAACAATGTCCATGAGATGTATGACCCGGAGGAAGTCGGCCACCAAAAGTGGGTTTTCTAGAATGTCCTTCTTGTCCAGTCCAAGACAGTCCAGGATGTGTTGGGGAGAAGCCTGCATGTTGTGGCACCAGGGGCAGTTTGGGAAGATTTTAACACTACCCTCGAAAGAAAGAGACCGCTGGTAAGCCTGGTAAGCGCCATCTGATACTTGCGGTAGCACCGAATGTTGAGTGCACCTCCTCGGGTGCTCTGGTACCAGTGATGTTTGGGGGGTACGAGCCAGGAAATATTGTCTTCTTTTTTTCTTTTTCGATGCCAGTTCCATGAAGATGAGTGAATTTGGACTCATCAAGGTTTCTTCGGTCGCCTCCTTAGCCAGAGTATCGGCGATATCATTGCCCAGAACCCATGCTGGCAGAGGTCTGACTTATCTCCTTCGCCTGTTGACTTCAGCTGAGTGTAATGGAACGACCTTCTCTCCATGGGTGAGCCTTCCAGGAGTACAACTCCAGACGTACATAGCCCATTCCACTCAGTGTCACCCCCTCGCCACGATGAGGCCACCAACAGGACTTGAGGGGGATAAAAAACATAAATTAGTTTATTAGGGTAACATGCGGGGGCTGGACAGAAATATAGAAACGCTATTGTACTAAATCTATTTAGCTATCTTTCAGCAGCAAATATTTTGGACGATTTTTGCACGGCGAAATTTGAAAGATTAGGATTGAAGTTTTTAGAAATAATGCAATTTTTACTCATGCAAAATTTTGATCGACCTCAATAAGGATAGGAATTTGATAACCTCTCTCTAGTTTTGATATCAACAATTTTTAAAGCATAATTCGTTTCACTTTTAAATGGAGGTGGGTACCTGAACTAAACATAGTCTTCATGCTTTGTGAACGTAAAAATCCCATCAGTGAAACAATAGAAAATTTTAAAAAAGGAAACAATAAAAATATTAAAAAAATGCAACAGAAACTGACTTTGTTAGGGGATACTAGCCCCAGAAGTCAGAAAAATACGAAACCTTTTCTATTAAAAGAAAAGATTTCTCCATAGAAAAGGTTTTGTATTTTTATGACTTCCGAGACTGGTACCCCCTGAAGACGTCAGCTTCGGTTGCCATTATTATAATTTTTAAATATTTTTCATTATTTTTTTTTATTGATTTCAATTTTCTTGTGGAATTTCTGCTGAATTTGCTCAACTTTCCTTTGGAATTGTAGTTTTTAACTGTTTTTCACATGATTTTTGATTTTTCTTTTTATCAGTGAAACAAAATTCATTTAGGATGATATCATTTTATTTAACGGACTGCACACCTGTACCAATATTGTATGCATCTTCTTGCGACCCTTGCTAAATTTCTTGCTTCATGCTGTTTTTCCATTTGTGCTCTGTTTTTAATCGCTATTACTTTGAGATATTAAGCCATTCACAAAATATTTTAGAAGCACATTGCACCACTAAACTGACTTTTAAGTTTATATTTACTTTTGCCCTTTTAGAGCAAGTCAAAGGCGAAAGAGATTTGCAATAACGTCCGAATACCGATTTCCAGAAATAATGAAAGGCATTCCGAAACCAGTAAGTATGTTTAAATGTATTAATAAATAATCGTATCAATAATTGTAGTTATCTGAAAAAGATAAAAATACTGATGATAAAATAAATTAATTTCTAGTTTATTGATGGGCCCTCAAACATCCGGCAAAAATATTCTAGTGGCAGACTCATCAAATCAGTTTGAAGTCATCCTAATTTCGCAACTACTTCAATTTAGATATTAAGAGTCGCGATGGCTCAGGTGATAGAGCGTTCGCCTTCCAATGAGGTGAACCGAAGTTCGATTCCGGTGATAGCTGGTAGATACGAATTCCGCATCCGGCTTACACCGACCACAGTGCTGACGAGAAATATCCTCGGTGGTAGACTGATCATGGGTTAGATTCCCCTTTCCGTCAGGCTAACCGGGGGAGATTCTCGTGGTCTTTCTCGCCATGTAACGCAAATGCGGGTTAGTTCCATCAAAAAGTTCTCCACGAAGACAAATTTCTCCCAATACTTGATCCAGGAGTTCCCTTGTCTTCGGGATTGGGTTCAAAATTACAAGATTACGGAGTTTAACATCAGTAGTCGTAAACCAAAAAATGGGGTCTGCTGTTCTACGACGTATAGAAAATAAAATTAAATTTAGATATTGAGTCCCCTCTGAAAAATTCTTGTCGATTTTCTACAGGTGGAGGTCCCAAAGAACATCCAAAAATATTCAAGTGGTAGCAAAGTTTAAAATTTACAGTTTGAACAGGAATGCCAACTACTGTGCTTTCCAGAAAAGTTTTAATAAATTGGTAGCTAATTAAATAATAAAACTTGCAGAATAAGGATAATTACACGCCTACCTTATCAAAGAGTAACTATGGCACAGATGCAATAAAAGTAATGTGATACTTTTCATGTGATACTTTGAATTTTCGATATGTAGTGGTGAAAAACTTATTTAAAAGGAAAAAATACTAATGAGTAAATAACTTATACTCCATTACCACTAGAAAATACTTTATTCACAGAGTGGAGCAAGTTGTCATCTCGCTCAAAATACAGCACTCGAACTATCCTTAAAAATATTTTAAAAAATGGTAATAATATTTAAATAAAGAAGTTAAAAATTTACGTATATTAGCTTCCAACTTGTATATCAACACGTTGAATGCCACGCTAGTTTTACATGGCTTGCCCGTGTGCCCGAACGGTAAATAACAACAAACTAAAATTGCAAATATTAAACAGATTTTTCTAGTTTTTTAAAAGGCTTAGCATGACATATCTATAAAAGTGGTGAATTATATAAGCCTACGAATTGTTGAGAAATAATGGTGGATAAAAATCTACTAAATTTAATTTATTAAACCAAGAATCACAATTAATAAACTACCACTTGAAAATATTTATTCGCTGTCGCAGCAAGTTGGCATCTCTGTGTATATAAATAAAACTATTTTTGTTTGTTGTATATTGCATTAATTTCTTCAAACCATCTTAGTAACGATAATAATATAAAAAAATTAAAAATTTACTCGAATAATGTTTTTCTAATAATCTTGGCTTCGCTGGTCACCGGTGACCCCCGTGGTGCTACGAGCAAACTCAGTGCCGGTCACCGATGACCTCTATGGTATTCAACGTTTTAATAAAGTAAAAACTGCAACTTTGTTACTAGACATGTTTACTTGGAAAAATTAAGAGCAATGGAGAGCACGAATTTCTAAAATTAAATTTTATTTTCTACATTTTACTACTATTTTTAAAAAAATTTTAAATTCTCAGTGAAAAAAAAAACGCGTGGTGAAAATTCTCAGAAACTGTTACGGTTTCAGTAGCTTCTATTTTTTGATACAGAAAAGTTGAAAAAGCATTGTTTTATTCTCTTTTATATTATTGTATTTATTTCTTCATTATGTTTATTACTTATGTTCCTTTATGACATTCAGATGGAATACTCGACAGAAGATATTGTCATCAACGAGATTAACTTTTCTATGAAAGGTAATTATCATATCATTTTATAATTTTAGTAATTATACAATTCAGTAGCTGTACAATAAGTTTAACTAAAATAACATAAAATTCACAGTTTTGTTTTTCGTTATTTAGGAATACCTGTTAGTCAAGGCGTCGTAAAAGGTTTCGTTCGTAAAGCAATGACTTTGGATGAAGCAGCTCATATAAAAGTAATGGGTATAATCTTATTCAAAATATTCCATGCTTTAATATTTTATGTCATTCTTTTTTCATACTTTAATATTTTATGGCAGCTTCCAATTACTTTTTATTAAATATTTGAAGCTTAAAATAAGTGAAGGTGTAATTTCTACTTCGCGTCTTTATTATTATTTTTAAATCTTGTGATTTTCAATTTCAGCCAGGAGAAATTCTACTCACATATTCTACAGATATCTGCTGGTCGCCTTATTTTCCTTATCTTGCGGGAGTTGTGACGGAACTAGGTGGCCTTATATCACATGGTAAATAACTCTATACAGTCCATAAAAATAAATGTATTCTACATATATTACATAAAGACAAAAATGATAACGGAAAAGAGAGATTAAAGGAGAAAATTGAGAAAAATAATAATAAGCTTTATTTACTGCGAATAAGCTGCATGTAAATAGAAATTGCAAAAATAAGTTAAAAAGATGAAGAAAACATGGAAAAAATGGCAATTTCTTAAAAGAGAAGAAAAGAATTATTAAAATAAAGCTAAAAAAAATAATCATAAATATTTAAAAAAAATTTGAAAAAGGTTTCAAAGCTGGGAAATANCTATTTAGTTTCTGTTAAGAGATTAAAGGAGAAAATTGAGAAAAATAATAATAAGCTTTATTTACTGCGAATAAGCTGCATGTAAATAGAAATTGCAAAAATAAGTTAAAAAGATGAAGAAAACATGGAAAAAATGGCAATTTCTTAAAAGAGAAGAAAAGAATTATTAAAATAAAGCTAAAAAAAATAATCATAAATATTTAAAAAAAATTTGAAAAAGGTTTCAAAGCTGGGAAATAAAATAAGGAAAAGATAATCACGTTATCAGCTCACACGATTATATCCGCAAAAAAGAGCGCTTTCTAATATTAAATAATAAAATTTAATAAATCTTAATAATAATCTTTAATAATTTAAAATAATAAATAATTAATAAAATTTTTGAAAAAATTAATTTGTTTTTTAATTTTGTTTTTATTTTAGTAGAAAAAATATTAAAAATGTTTTTTTTTAAATTTTTTCTATATTTTTTAACTCATATATATGTATATAATGTATATATATATTTAACTTATATATGTATATAATGTATATATATTTAACTTATATATGTATATAATGTATATATATTTAACTTATATAGGTATAAATAGCCAGGCTGTAAAATACGAAACCAAAAGATATGTCGGATTGGGGAGAAAAAAAATTTTAAGGTGTATTCACACTGCAGTGTCGAACCAATATTAATGGCAACAAACCAGTATTTATACTTGCAGCCAAAATTCAAAATTGCATTTCAAATACGATAAAATTCTTAATCTTCAATATGGCCTGAACACAATTTTATTTAATCCGATTTGAAGATATATACCAGAAATAAATAAAAAATGTCAAAAATTTTGCCATTTTTTTTCGTATAAAATTGCTTACTATGAAAACAGAAATAAGTTACTTTCTCGACTAATAAAAAAAAATCAAACTAGGTGGTATATTTTTGCACACCCCTGCCAACTTTATTTATAAGTTCTTATACTTCATTTATAAAGTTCTGGTGTTCGATTCGCGCACCGAGCAAGGTTGACTCATCCTTTCATTCCTTCAGTGGGTCGATATAATGAGTACCGAGCATGCATACTTGCGGACAGAACACTGAGTGTTCTGCATTCGGCTGACCACCCAACTGGAACATCTGCTACTGCTCTCCAGATTCCAAGGTGAAGAAAACTGAAATGGGCACAGAAGACCTTTGCCCTCCATGGGCTGTCACGTCACTGACTTTAGTATAAATTAAACCTTACTTTTCTCGGCAAAATCAGCTTAAACTCTACATTAAACAGTGTGTTGGCCTTCTAGTTAAAATGTATTTATAAAAGTCTAATTTATGCTTATCAATGGGAAATAAAATATTTAAATAACACTGCTTAAAAATATTTTTCTTAAAATAAAAAATGTAAGTTTAATGTTAGTTATTAATTACTAATTAGTAATTAATTACTAATATTATACTTACGATTACTAAGATTTTTAATATTAGACTAATAGAATATTAGTAAGTCTAATATTTTATTAATAATTCTCTAAAAACTTAGGAGCTGTTGTAAGTCGTGAATATGGAATCCCTTGTATAGCTGGACTACATGGAGCAACAAAGCACTTTCAAACAGGTAAGGAAACGAAAATTTTTTGCTTTCTTTCCTCCTTGTTAAAACATTATACGACATTCAAAAAACTTCTATTTAAACAAATTCTTCATAAAACAAAGTTTTTATTAAATTAATATCAGCAGCAACTGATCCACGCCTCTCTAAGGTAACTAAACAGAGTTACATATAGTCATTTGCAGTTTTAAAGCAAGTAATTACTGAAAATATCGTAAGTAAAATTATATTTTAAGACTGAAAATACTATTTTAGATAGGGGAAAGTGTGGTAAGACCGGGTAAGCAAGATTCGAAGACATGTTGAAGCTAAACTATTCGACCTAGAATCTGTCAGATTTGATGTAGATATTCATTGCTTAGTATCCCTCCTAAATAGTCTTAGATGTATTACTTTATTTATAAAAGTATTGTGCACGAGAAAGTCAAATCACCCGGTCAAAAGTAGCCAGCATTTTTTACTTTAAGTTAATTTAGGAACATTGTGCGTGTAATTTACATGTAATGCAGTCAAAGCAGTACTCAAGGGGAAGAGAGAGAGAGACGGGAGGCAATTCTTCCGGGTACCGGTAACGCTGAGGGCTCGATCAAAATATAGTGCTTATTGATTAGTTTTTCTTTAAAGAAAATTTCAAAAAATTTCTTTGCAAAAAATCACAGTTTTGTGTAAAGTGTCTTCAAAATTTCTACAAAATGTAAAAATAAGGCTTTTTGTGATTTGAAGTTGAACCTAGCAACAAATTTTGTTCTGGGGTTCATAAGCCCTTTGTTCATTTTTGGATACTATCTTCGTCCTCTGATGAGCTGCAGTTTTCGTGGGCCCAGCATAGACACATATCAAAGGGGGGGGGAGGAATAGTAGTACTCGGTCTTGCACCAACAGCAGGTTATCGAAACGAAACAGAACAAAGCTACCATTGGACAAAAATGTTATTTGTTAGGGTATGAATCTTTAGTAAACGTATAGTAAATAAGTTAGACCAAAAATAATTTTCATTACTGTAATAATAATTAAGTAAGGCTAGTTAAAAAACAAAAGAATATTAGATAATTGTCATTGTAAAACAAACCTATCTACACAAACGCCGCGAATTAAGCACGCCGATATGATAGGTCCTTCTTGACTAGTAAAGTTTAATTCATATTTAGTTCGCTAGAAAACAGAACTAATTATGACATATTCAAAGTATCTGGTCATGCTCCATTCTCCTCTACATATAATTGTTAAAACTAGTGTGAAATCCTTCCAAAAAGCTTCCAAAAATTCACTTAAGCTTTAAGAAATTTCATCATTTTATTGTATGATATTAGATTTCTATAGCAGTTACAGTAAGTTGTTATATTGGGTGAAAATCGCACGTATATTTTATATACATTTAAGACTAATAATACGTATCATATACGATGTTCACATGCTTTGTTAACATGGTTGTATGCAAAATTTAATATTAAAATGCTAAAATAATTTTTAATTGCTTCTTTGTAGGTGACTACGTTATTTTGGATGGAAATAAAGGAATATTGCAAAAGGTGCAGCCTCCAGAAAATTGAAATTCTCTTCTTTTGTTTACTCAAGAACTTTATTTATTAAGACACACACACAGACAAACTTTTAACTTTATTAGAGATATTTCAATGTGACGTATGAATTCAAAGATTAACATGTTCGTTCTACGAAAATAAACAAATATTTAGTTTCTGTTAAGTTCTGTTTCATTTATAACATGATATGTCCAAAATAATCTATCCATATGCCTGACTCTATTTGAAACTACTAAAAGAAAGCTTACACAGACTAAAGAAAATATGTCTGTTTAATGATACAACCTTTCCTGATGTCTAAACGTTAAAGTGGTATCTAAAAATTGCTCCTAACTTTCTTTAATTTGAATTTACTGCCACTTTAAACGTTGTTTAAGACGCCCAAGAACCCAATAAAAACGTGGTAAAAAAGATTGTAATCTTATGCATTTATCTTTAGCTGAAGCAAGATGCTTAGACCTTCCAGAACATTTTAATAATTTAATTATTATGTGTCGACCTCGAAATATGCATTCACAGGGATGCTACAGGCGACTAAAAATGTAAAAAGTGGTAAAAACTCAATTAACTTTTATTTATTAATACTTTCTAAAATTATTCAATCATTACTACCACTAGGACTTGCATTTCAAATTAATTATATTCAAAAATAATCAACAATATTTTAATTTATACTAAATTGAAAAAAATGTGCTAGAAAATGTTGTAATCGAACTCTATTAGTAACGTTTTGAATTTTATAAGTCAGTGGAATCCCTTCATTCAAATAAATTCATGATATTATTATAATTATACTGTAAGTAAAATAAAAGCAAGGTAAGTAAAGATTTTTCAACTTAACGACATTACATCAAATGCAAAGCTGACCCATGAATCGTAACAGCTTTTCGCAGCAAAAAATTAGTTTTCAAATTATAGTTTTTATACAGTCTTTATAGTCTTCTATCAACTACTTATACTACTTCTCTTTGTCGAGTGTAGTTATGGTAGCACAACCGGAATGTGGTAGCGAAAATTGAAAAAAAAAATATTTTTGCTAGTTCCTATAACCTAAAATATATTTGTAAATATTAAGAAATATATCTAGAGGCTAAAACTGTCCAACTTAATTCCTAAATATAAAGGGAAATTAAAGCCTTGAGAATTTCAACGTAATTTGAGTCACTCCTTTTTATATTATTCCCGGCTTTAGAAAGAGGAATTAAACTATGCTCAGTCAAGAGTTCATGAAAAAATTGAAAAGTTGAATGTAACCATGGTGATAGTCTTATAGACTCGAAATTTTGTATTTCAAATCGAACTCACCACCTCTTGGATATGAGCGAAACGCCCTGCCAAGGTATCCCGACCTTAACTTTCAATAAGTTCCACAATTAACCAAACTGGACGTCAAATATCCTCAGTGCTAGACGGATTATGGGTTAGAGTTCCCTTGCAGTCTGACTAACCGCGGGAGGTTTTCGTGGTTTTCCTCCTCTCCATGTAACACAAATAAGGGTTAGTTTCATCAGAAAGTCCTCCACGAAGGCAAATTTCTCCTAAAGCTTGATTCAGGAGTTCCCTTGTCTTCTGGATTGAGTTCAAAATTACGAGGCTGCGAAGTTGAACATTAGTAGTCGTATATCCAAAATAATTGGGTCGGCTGTTCTATGACGGTTATAAAATAAAATTAACAAAACTGGTTACATAAAATTTGGTTTCTGTCATAGTTAAAAAAAATCTAAATTCCCGAATAGCATTGTGGAAATTTTGCATATAGGAAAGATAGAAATAGGTTAAATCATTAGAGATTACTTTCGTGGAATATATAGAATTTACGAAATAGTACCAACATGTGTGGAATTAAACTAACCGAAACTTTAATTGTAAGCTTACCCTCATCACATTTATAAGCTTACGAAATTCCTTTTTATTTTTGTCGTTATTTGGTAAAAGAACCAATTTGTTAAAAAGCAAAGACAACTTTAATTTTTTTTTTAAAGTTTCGAAAACTCAAACCCTTGCGTCTTTTTATCACTTTCACGAAAGCATTCTCAACCATAATGCTAGATTTAGAGCTTGAGATAAATTGGTATATACATTTAATACCTTTAAAGTAATTTGCCCAAAGTTTAGATTTGTGGCAACACAAATCCGTAAACCCTACAAAAGCTGTAGTTTAATAAACTGGTATACACTTTTAGATAAAACAAGTTTACTCATTTCTGCCACAGAATCTATTTTCACGGAAGATTTTTTTTTAAAGTAAAATTATGTTTCATCCTAGTTCAAAAAATTTGTATTCGTTTTTATCACCTCTACATAAGTTAAATATAGCTTTTAACAAATCTGCAAAACTAAATTCCCGTTTACAATTATAAAATCAAATGTTTCATCGCTACCTCTATGAAAAAACATAAGCCGAAAGTCAAAATCTGTAGCTGCTTTATTTACCATTCTGCTTTATTATTTCGTTTTAAATTATTCCTCGCAATCTAAAAATATTGCTTGCTACTGAAGTTACAATTTTGTGTTAAAATTCTGTTAAGGCAAGTTAAGAGGTTAGTTTTAGATTAGTAAATATTAATCTGTGGCGAAATTCCTGAATCAAGACCGTAGCCTCATAATTTTGATCCCAATCCAGAAGACAAGGGAGCTCCAGGATCGAGTATTGGAAGAAATTTGTCTTGTCCAGGACTCTTGATCGAACTCGCATTTGAGCTACATGGAAATGAAAACCAGGAAAATCTCCCACGGTTAGCCTGACGGCAAGGGGACTCCATCCCATGTTTTGTCTACCACTGAGGATATTTTACGTCAGCACTGTGGTCCGTTTGAGCTGGATGCGGAATTCCTATCAAACAGCCATCTTTGGGTTTCGAAATCGATTTACCTCATTGGAAGGCGAACGTTTTATCTTCTATGCCACCGCGGCTCTACGATAGCCAGTCATGAAGAATCTATCCATTTTAGATAAAATTAAACAAAAATGAGACATTTAGATTGATCTGAGGGGCAACGGTAAGTAAAACGCTTTTAATTTATTCATTTTAAGTGATAAAACCAGCTGTTTGCTCCCCATTAACAAGTCTTCAGTGCAGTGATGTCGTGACGATACACTCTTAAGTTTTGAACTATTTTAAATACAGTTCCAAATATTTTAAATAATGTAAAAACTGAATTAGTTTTAAATTTGTGAGAAAGCGTGATACAATCATAATAGTGTCTTTCCCTCAGCTTCGGCAGTAATTTTCAGATTCATAACTAAATTTTGGCGTATTAGGTTAATTACCATCATTACTACTAAACAATTTATCTTTTTAAAAATATTTACTCTTTTTCAATCCGATGCTGTAAACGAAACACTGATTTATAAAGACAAACAATTACAGAACAGTCAAAATATTTTAAATTTTTTTCCTACAATATGAAATTTATTGTACTTGTAAATAAAGAATAATCTGATTCCAAAAACTGAAAGCAAAATTAGCAAATTGTAATTCCCTATCACATTACATTCTCTGGAATAATAGTTTGAGATTCAAATATAAAATAACAAACTGGAAAAAAAAATTTATCACTATGAATTTAAAAAGGGCGTTTAAAGTTTGTGTGAATAAAATTTAGGAATCACATTAAGTCACATTTAAATATCTAATATTAATTCAAAGTAAATTCATACATTAAAACGGGATCATTTAAGTACCAAATTTTATTTAATTATCACGTTTTCATTTTAAAAATTTAAAGCTTTTTAGACAAGCATTAAAAACTTAGGATATTAAAAATTTTCTTTTTCACTTTAGTTTGCGATGTTTTTGCTATGATGAACATAACATGGAATTTTAAAATTCTTCGACATTTAAAATGTCGGAACAGTTTAAATTTATTTGCACTCTAAATTTTATGGTTAGTTTAAAGCACCACAAAAGCTTAAAAACTGGTCAGGATACTACATTTGACATAATCGTGAGTCGTATATTACATGAACAAAACATGAAGTCATTGAATAACTGAAAATTATTGAAGATTGAAATCAAATGCATCTCTTCAAGACTCTTCAGTATCTTAGGCAAGATTTTTAAATTCTAAACAAATTTCTTCATTTTACTTTGTTCTAGTGGAATAGCTTCGAATTTATTGTAAAAATACAGAAAATCAATTTTTTAAAACTTGTCCCAATTCAGCATCTTAAAGGTGCCATTAAAGAAAAAAGCAGTCCAAGAATATTGATATCCAATCTATCCTTAAGAGAGTGATTCTGGAAAAATGGATTTGAGAAAAAAACTAAGTTTACACAAAATTTCGTCTCTCCTTAAAATAAAATGTTAGAAGTTTATAAAGTTTTAGCTTGATAAATTAGACTAACGACAAATTTTACTGTCAGATTTGTTCCCACTTCCAATGTAGTATGAAAAATTTTTAGAATAAATTCTTAAGATTAAAATTTGATGAATTATACTGTCCCGCAGTGGACTGATCGTTAAGACACGGTTCCCAGCAGATCACCGAAGTCAAGCATCACTGGCTGCAGTCACTGTGCGGGTGAGTGACCACTTGAATCAGTCTGCGTAGGGACCGATGGTGGGCGGTATTGGTCCTCGTTAAACTGTGCTACCGTAAAGTGCTCGACTTCGCGCGCAGGTCGTTGCGATACCAAAGCGGGGGTGCCATCCCCTCTGCAGAGGATCAAAATTGTGATGACTTGTCTCCGGATCATCCTCAGGGATGTTTCCCAGACCGTCGCCAGTAGCCCATTGTGCAGCTTTAGTGCGACGTAAAGTAACTACTACTACTACTACTGATGAATTATACTGTAAATATTTCTGACAGTTGAGGCTTTATAATACTTTTAAAAAAGGATATGAACTCAAAATTTCTAAAACTGATGAAACTTTCTTCAATGTGGAAACTCTTGTACTATACTTATTTTATTAAATCTGAAGGACAGTATTTCAACAATAAAAGTTTATTATTCTGTGTCACGAATCAATGCTTTAAAAAATAAAATTTTTATTCTGACTTTTATTGACAAACTTTTTGAATTATAGAAATTTTATAAAAAATGAGCTAAGAAGCATATTTATATTAACTTTTGCTAGCAAATACAAATTTAAAAAGCTTTTTTGCTGGGAAATTACTTACCCAATTTTTATCACATTTAGGTTTTTCTCACTAAACAAGTTTAGCTTTTAGAAGACAATCACTAAATCCTTAATATTCCAATGCTTGGAAATTTTGTCTCAAAGGGATTTTAATTTGAAAAAATCACTACATTAATTTCTTGTTTTAATTTATAGTTATTGACAACAATTCTTAACTTTATATGTTTTACACATAGTTTTTATAGAGTCTAACATTAAAACATAATATTTGATATTCGTACTTATAATTCCATCAGTTCCAGTTTTAATTAATCAATATCCATACTAAGTTCTTTCCTACTATAAGGTTGTCCAATACAAGTGCATATATAAATTGCCGTAAAAGGAATCCAATGACGATAGAAAGGAATGTTTAGTTTTTCTACAAGCTTGTTGATGTCCAATCATCGTATATATTAAGGTTCACCCATCTGAAGAGAAAAGTTATATAAATATTGCAGCGAAATCTTAATTCTCATTTATTTCTAAAATGCACAAATCTACGCAATTTTATAGCTTCAGAATAACTCACTTCAGAATAAAGACTAATACAGTTCACGAAATTCTCCCTTCAAACGTTTTGCTTTAAAATGCAAATCGCAAAAAAGATAAAGAATATTACGACAATGCAATAATTTGCACGTTTTCAGTCTAACTTGAAGTCTAATGAGACTAATCCACATTTGTTCCATAATATAGCGCTGAAATTAATAATATAGCGCTTAAATTCATAATGCAACGTTTAAATTCATAATATAACATTTAAATTCATAATATAGCATTTAAATTCATAATATAACATTTAAATTCATAATATAGCATTTAAATTCATAACATTTAAATTCATAACATTTAAATTTATAACGTAACGCTTAAATTCCTAATATAACGTTTAAATTCATAATATAACATTTAAATTCATAATATAACATTTAAATTCATAATGTAACGCTTAAATTCATAATATAACGTTTGAAATCATAATATAGGGTTTTTCATAATATAGCGTTTAAATTCATAAAAGACTCGCTTATCAATCTTTTAAGTAGTCAAGTCATTTAATGGTAAGAATACCATGTACACATTTTTACATCCAGAATAAGCTAGTGAAAAATTATATAGTTAAATTTTACAAAACGAAAAATCAAAAAATTCGGTGAAATAAAACTAATAATAAGAAGTTAAATTTTAAAAAATTCTTTTACGCCACTTGTTAGAAAGTGCTAAGATTAAATACGGAAATTTAATGAGAAAATAAGATCGCATAGAACAAAATTTATATTGTCATGTAAAGTAATTCAATATACTAGATATTATAACCTTTGTATCATTTGAACTACTAAAATATTATTGCTCTCAACATTTAAGATTTGCTTTAATGTTTTTTTGCTTTCTAATATGAGTGAAGATAAATTTTTGACTATCTTGTTGGAAGGAGGGAAAGATGATATTTCTTTTCTTTACATAGCTGTCAGCATTGATAGGAAAAAAACGCGGTATACTTTACGAAATATAAATTTCAAGATAATTGTTGTATAATGTACTAAATATTTTACACAAATGGAATTTTAGAGATTTTTTCATATTAATAAAAATAGAACAATACCAATATATTACAGTTACGATTGACATCAAGCATACTTGAAGTATTATGTATTACTAGGGGGCTTCGCCCCCTGCTCGCTGGCGCTCGCCAACCCCCGGAACTGCTTTCGCAGTTCTTTTCGGATTGCGAAGCAATCCAATGCTCGCTTTGCTCGCTCATTGGACACGTTCTTAACGTCTAGCTTTTGCATACTTTTTTGAATACTGAAGTTCCGAAAACTGTTCACTGTAGAAAATTCTAAACCTGTACATTTCAATATTAATTTGAAAATGCAAGCAGTTCACATATTTTTCTTAATCACACTATTCTAAATTTCAGTTGTTGAGAAAAGTAACTGTTGTAAGTTTTGTTTCGAAGTCTTTCCCACCAGAGGGCTAAAGCCATGTGTTGTAAAACAATATGAAATAGTAGTCTGCTACTGAACGCCGGATGTAAAGCATCGGCTTTGATGAAGATAATTTTGTATTTTTAATTCTCTGAAGGGCGCCACCCTAATAATATGGAATTTGTAAAATAAATGTATATATTTTTGA